ATCAAGGCAAGGAGCTGTGATTTCTGGCACTTTGGAGGCAAGGCTGGTGCAGCCTGCCCGAAACTGGGCCCTGAGCCGGGAGAGGAGCCAGAGGAGCCAGAGGCGAGTCCCTCCGCAGGCTCCTTTTCTCCAGCTCTCCCTGAGTGCGCAGCGAAAGCTGCTCCAGCTCGGAGCCCCCGAAGCCTGCAGTCAGAGGCCCTGCAAAATGACCCCGAGGATTCCCAACGTCCCCTCCCCAGAAAAGGGACCTCCACTTCCAGGCTTCCCCTTCCTGCTTTCAGCACTCAGGAGCCTCCACCCCGCTCCCCGCTGAAATCCTTTCCAGATGTGACGGTCTGGCAGCTGGAGAGGAGGTGGGCCCGGGGTGTGTGTTTGTGCGTCCAGCGTTGTGGGGCAGAGTTGAAGGCGCAGCAGGAGCCTGGGACAAGTGTGGGATGACAGAGAGCGACTGGCCAGGACGGACAGCCTCCTCGCTCCTTTCCCTCTCTTTCCAAGGCAGTGCTCTCTTGAGCCTGGTTTCCTCTGTCCCGCCCAGCAGCCCAGGGGTTAAGACGGTGAGGGATCAGCGCAGGGCTGGCTACTTCCTTCGGAGCTTTGGAAAGAGCCCTCTCCTTGTGACTGATTTTGGAGAGAGCAGCCGAGAGCAGGCCAGGCGCCGTGGGCCAGGAGAACGCCCCAGCCTGCTCCAACTAGGAACTCGGCTGTGAATGGAGCCCAGCCTGGGGATGGGGGAGTCAAGGTGAGTAGGCAAGTGAGGGGTGTGTGGGATCATCCAGCGGATGATGACGATGATGAGGTCTCGGCAAGGCTGACGTGGGCTCCCAGGTCCCTGTGCCCCTGGGCAACCCAGATAGGCGGGGTACAAAATAATAACTTATTATTACTATTCGGAGCTGCAGGAACAGCCTGGAGAAGGAGCTAGTGTTTATGTGCCCGGAGCTCTTAAATAGCGCCCTTTGTGGGGGCCACAGCACTTGCTTTCCAAAACGTTTTTTCCTGAAACATGCCTGAACACAGCATTCCCCAATCTGGTGCCCTCTGCGTCTTTTGGACTTCCATCAGCTCCAGCTAGCACAGACACCGACACCTGGGACCAATGAGATTCGTAGTCCAAAACATCTGGCGGGGAACTGAGTGAGAAAGGTGGCTTGAAACATCTTTCTCCCAGGTTTTGGGGAGAAATAAGGAACTTGAGATTTTAAACAAATTTTGGACTGTCCCAAGCCATACATTCCTACTAAGAGGAGATGGTTCCTGCCCCCAATGAGATGTCCTTTGCCCCCCACCCCGCTTAGCCCCCCACCCTGCCGTGCCCACCATTTATAGCTTTTTCTTATACATAAGGAACTGACTGTTTTTCAACTCATAACACATTCTCAATCCTATAAAGCCATATATGGTTTAGGTCCAGGCTGTCTGAATGACCGTATTCCCTCATCCAAACCTGACTGGGCTCTTCAGGGGAGGGCCTTCTCTTGGTCCCACCACCCTCATAGGAATGCTTGGTAGGGACACAGGAGAAGGCCTTCTTGGTGGGTGCCCCTTCCTAGGGAAATTAGACTGGTTTGCTCCTGTTTGTCCTTCTGCTTGACAGGTGAAGACTTTCTTCTTCCAACAGGCTTTTGGAAACTGGGTGTTTCTAAGGAAAGCCCTGCTGCTATAATGTTTTTATTGCAGTGATATCTCTCTGTGTGTGTTTATTCCATTAAATGTTAATTCTTTTGTAAATGATTGTTAAGTTCTATGTTTTTAGCTGTTTCTACTTTAGCTATACGAGGGACGCGGGTGGCGCTGTGGGTAAAACCTCAGTGCCTAGGACTTGCTGATCGCATGGTTGGCGGTTTAAATCCCCACGGCGGGGTGAGCTCCTGTCTTTCGGTCCCATCTCCTACCCACCTACCAGTTCGAAAGCACCCCCAAGTGCAAGTAGATAAATAGGTACCGCTTCATAGCGGGAAGGTAAACGGCGTTTCCGTGTGCTGCGCTGGTGCTGGCTCGCCAGAGCAGCTTCGTCACGCTGGCCACGTGACCCGGAAGTGTCTCCGGACAGCGCTGGCCCCCGGCCTCTTAAGTGAGATGGGTGCACAACCCTAGAGTTGGACACGACTGGCCCGTATGGGCAGGGGTACCTTTACCTTTTACTTTAGCTGTATACTGCCTTGAGTCCATGTCAGAGAAAAGGTGGAGGAATAATAATAATAATAATAATAATAATAATAATAATAATATACAGCTGGCCAATTTTGACACTGTCCTATGCAGGAGATGGTTAGCTTCTGCCTGCTCCAGGGTTTTGTGGCACCTTAAAGACTAAAGAGCTCGTTTTGTCAGATACATGAAAGAAGGATGACCCTGAGTTGCAGGCACATATATACAAGGTTGGGAAGGGGATTGTGAGCAGTGAGGTCAGAAGGAAGTGTTAGACAAACAAAAAATGTACAGATGGTTACCGGTATAAGTATTAATAGAGGCTATTCACTCAAAAAGTTCTTGATAACACAGGCATCTTGGCACTCAGAAGCCAATCAGCACATGCCATTCATCTAAAAAAAGAACTACCTTTGTCACAGCAAGTGATAGCACTGCACCTTTAATGAACTGCAATTCAGTGGTTTCGTATTGCAGGCAGTTCCTTTGAAACTCCTTTGTTTAAGGGTAGCTGCTCTACAGCCAGTTACAGAGTGTCCTGGAAGGAGAAAATGTTCCCCTGCTAATTTTTAGTTATTGCCATTGCTGACACCAGAGTTCTGTCCATTTATTCTTCTGAGTGGAGACTGGCCTGTTTGTCCCATGCAGACTCTAGAAAGGCACAGGTGGCAGATGATGATATGCAGATCACTCCAGAAGAGGCGAATTAACCCCTCATGTTGCAGATGACATAGTTAGGTCCTGTAATAATGTTGTCAGAGCTGTCGAGGGCAGGCACCAGAGAGGGGTGATTCTGTAGACATAGTGTACTTAGGCTTTCAGAAAGCTTTTCCTTCACTGAAGGGATTGCGAGGAACTCTGAAAGAATCTTTGCAAAACTAGGTGAAAGGACATTAAAATGACAAATGTGATTCGGTGTAAGTGAAAGATGAACACTGGAGGAAGCATCCTAACTTAATATATTCGCTTATGGGGTCTGAACCAGCAGTGACTGACCAAGAAAGAGATCTTGGGCCTCTGGCAGATAATGTGATAAACATATCAACCTACTGTGTGGCAGCTGAGAAAAAGGCAAATTCCATGCTAGTGATCATTAAGAAAGGGATTGAAATATCAAATATATTCAAATATCTTCCCATGGAAGATGGAGTGAGCTTGTTTTCTGTCGCTGAAGCGGGTAAGACCAAAACCAATATAGATTCAAATGACAAGAAATTACAAATTACAAGAAATGAGATTTTGACTAAACATTAGGAATAACATTCTTTTCTTTAAAAAATAGTTTTTATTAAATTTTCAATTTTTACAGAATAAACATTTTACATACTTTTAAATATCCAGTGACTTCCCTTCTCCTCCTTCCATGGTTCATTGTGCAAATCTTCCATTCCTGCATATTTTGCTGTAACTGTTTAAATCAGTTCTCCATTTTTACATTGTTCAAACATTAATCACGTTGTTGAATTTATCTTAATACTGCCAGCGTTTTCAGCGGTGTGCAATTATTTCCCATATATTCAATAAATACTTTCTACTCTTCTTTCAATATATGCTCTTCTTCTCTTATTCTGTGTGTTAAACCTGCAAGTTCTGCATATTCTAGCATCCTAAGTTAACAATCTTCTTTACCTGGGACCTTGCTCGCTTTCCAACATTAGGAATAACTTTCTGACAGTAAGAGCTGTTTGATAATGGAAAGGACTACCTCGAAAAGTGGTAGTTAAACCTTCATTGGTGGTTTTTAAACAGAGGGTTGGGGACTCTTTAGCTGTGATTCCGGCACTGGAGGGAGTTAACTATGATGTTATGAAAAACAAGACTGCCAATATAACAATGTTTTTATTCAAATCTATGGGATGAGCGGGACGCAGGTGGCGCTGTGGGTTAAACCACAGAGCCTTGGACATGCTGATCAGAAGGTTGGCGGTTCGAATCCCCGTGACGGGGTGAGCTCCCATTGCTCGGTCCCTGCTCTTGCCAACCTAGCAGTTCGAAAGCACGTCAAAGTGCAAGTAGATAAATAGGTACCGCTCTGGCGGGAAGGTAAACGGCGTTTCCGTGTGCTGCTCTGGTTCACCAGAAATGGCTTAGTCATGCTGGCCACATGACCCGGAAGCTGTACGCCGGCTCCCTCGGCAGTAAAGCGAGATGAGCGCCACAACCCCAGAGTTGGCCACGACTGGACCTAATGGTCAGGGGTCCCTTTACCTTTACCTTTATGGGACAAGCACACTTGGAATATACTGCCCATTTCAGGTCACATTGCCTTAAAAATGCTTTTGTAGAGTTGGAAACAGTTCAGAAAAGGGCAATCAAAATGATTGGGGGGGGTGGAGCAACATCCCTATGAGGAAAGATTACTGTGGTTGGGGCTTTGTAGAGAAAGTTTAGAGAAAAAGGAAGGAGAGGAATGATAGAGGTATATATGAAATTACACCCGATCTGGCAATAGCATTAAAATCAGACGTCATCCAAGTTGAATGTTGGGTGATTCAGGTGATTCCTGCATGACCTTGGGGTTCTTGGAATCAATTTTGTGATTCTAGGGCAGACGAAAGGAAGGATTCACACCCACCCACCCTGCCCCACCCTCCAGGAGTGAGAGAGAGGCAGGTAAAGATTGCATGCACTTTGAAGCTGCTGGCTCTCAGTTCCCCATTAACTCTCCCACAGGGCCAAGGGAAGAAGTTGTCTGCAAGATTGGGAAGCCTCGGTGACCTTTGCCCATCTCTCAGCTGTTTGATGATTAACTAATGAACCAGGATCAGTAAAACCCCAGAGCCCACATATAAGAGGGCTGCAGGTCCTTGCCTTCTCTTTCTCACAGATTCTCTCTCCTGCCATCCTCAACCATGGCCAAAGGCTTCTTCATCAGCAAGACGCTGGGCATAGTTGGGATCGTTCTTGCGGTTGCCGCTGTGGCCACCATCATTGCTCTGGCGGTTGTCTATGCAGAGGAGAAGCAGAAGTCAAGCAATGATGCGTCTGACCCAACCCCATCTAGCTCCATCTCTACCGCCACTACCACCACCAGAGCTACAGCTGCCACCCCCAGTGTTCCTGGCACTACGGCCAACCCAAACGACCCTTGGAATCAAATGCGGCTACCCAAGACCCTCGAGCCCGTGCACTATGATGTCACCCTGCAACCCTTCCTGACCCAGGATGCTCAAGGACTCTATGTCTTCACGGGCAACAGCACGGTGCAATTTGTGTGCCTGCAGCCCACCGACCTCATCCTCATCCACAGCAAGAAGCTCAGCTACATCGAGCAAGCGGGGAACCTCGTCTCTCTGCGTGGGGTAAACGGGTCCACAGCACCAGCCATCTCTCGGACCTGGCTGCAGGAAAAGACTGAATACCTGGTGGTGCAGCTTAGCGGAAGCCTCCAGCAGAATGCGTCCTATGAGTTGCTGAGCAGCTTCCGTGGGGAGCTGGCGGATGACCTGGCTGGCTTCTATCGCAGTGAATACATGGAGGATGGGGTTCGCAAGTAGGTGGAACTGTGTGTGTGTGTTTGTGTGGTGGGGCAACCCTACAGTTCTATGAAAAATACAGTTCCTGCAGCCAGTCTCTGTGTCTGGGAAGATCTCTGGACAAGCCTGGCAGGGTGTGAGTTGGGGAGGCTATAGACACTGGATTGTGTTATCAGCATCTGAAGCAGGGGGGAGGCCAGAGCCATCCCTCTCTGCTGCCTGGCAGCCACCTGCCCTCAGAACAGGCTGGGCTCCTCCTCCCACCTGGCACCAGGTCACCAACCCTGCAGCTCTGGGGCAGCCACAGAGACCCCTAGCAAGGAGCTGGAGGAAAATCCACCCAGAGAGGGACATTGCAGCAAAGGGTGGTGGTGCGGATGAAGGCAAGGGACTCCCCAGCCATTTGTACACTCCAAAGCTTCTCCTACCTGCCCACAGCTGCTTTTTTCCTTTTGCAAGTCCCTGCTATGTCCTCCCTAGGGCCTCTGTTGAAGCCCAAACCCCAACCGCAACCTGTTGTTTAGTTTGATGTGGAGGTGCCCCCCCCCCAGGGTGGCCGATCTCCCATAGCCCTCTTGCCAGCTCTTCCTGCTTGCCTTATGTTGAGAGGAGACCAGTTTACAGGAGAGCAAAGTGGGATGGATGCGACATAGCACCGTTAGCAGGGACCTGGTGCCACTGTGGTGAGTGACTAGGTAGCATTTCTTGAGAGTCTCCAGAGTTGAGCTCTGGGACTGCCCACACCCCATGAAATGCCCACCCTGCACCCCGACCCCCGTTCTAGCACAGGGTAATGGCCAAATCAGGCCTGGAACTTCTGAGGTTGGGATGGAGATTGTTGCCACTTGACTCAGAAAAGGGGCTATGCCCCCCCACCCCTGCTCAAGAGCTACAGGTACTTCCCACCTGCACCCAACCTGGGGAGCTCCACCCACACCTACCTCCTCCCATGGTGGTTGTTTGCATTGCAACTTGCCTTGAAAATATCTGGGCAGCTAAGAAGCAGGGCAGACCCTGGAAGACACAAGCTCCCTTGTCTCAATAAATCAAGAAGACATGGCATGGCGGGTGGGTGGGTGGACCTGGGGGAACATGCATTGACCAGCCTCTGTCCTCCTCCCAGGGTGGTGGCCACAACGCAGATGCAGGCGGCTGATGCCCGGAAGGCCTTTCCTTGCTTTGATGAGCCGGCCATGAAGGCCACCTTCACCATTGTGTTGATCCACCCATCTGACCATGTGGCTCTCTCCAACATGCCTGTGCAGAGTAAGGGGGTGAAGGGAGGGTGGGGCAAAGGGACTCCCCTTGGTGGTGGTGGTGAAGCACACCTGCCACTTCCTCCTCCTCAGTTTCCATCTGTGTTCATGACCCCCTCCCTCCTCTCCCAAGAGATTGCGGCTCTTTCCTTGCATGGGTAGAAGGGCAGGAGGGGAGAGCCAGACTGGAAGTGGGAGGAGACTGAGGGGGAGGTTTGCTTCCCACAGGTACTGGATGGTGTTCCCATTATGCAGAGTCTGGAGTCAGGACATGCTTGGGATGGGGGGATCTGTGTCCAGTGGAATGGGGGAGAGAAGTCTTTGAATCACCAGAGGTTTGGAATCCAAGAGCTGCTGAATCAGCCTTCCTGAAGGGAAGAAGCCTGTGTGGGAGGAGGGAGGTGATTTCCCTTGGGAGCTCAAGTACAGAGGCTCACACCAAATTCCCAGCCAGAGTCCAAAGAGTCCATTAGGATGCACGCTATATAGACAGATATGTCATCTTACCTGTTCATCCTCTACCCAATCACCTTCTGCCACACCAGCACTCCACCCTCTCTCATCCAACCACAACTGACTCAACCCCTTCCCATCTTTTACTGTGCCTGTCCGACCCCTCTTTGTATGTTGAATGGAATTGGTTTTCCCCCTTTAACAGTCAGCTGTCAGGTTCCTTTTTAACTGGTTCTTCCCAGGCTTGTGGTGAGTTCACACTGGCCTCACTATTAGTGGGCTTAACAGTAATTCCACCTCAGCCATCAGGGCTGGCACTGTTGGGAGCTGTCCACCAAATGAGAGAAAGGGAAGCAAGTGAGGGCAACTGGAAAAACGTGCAGGAGGGAGAGGATCCTGCTTCAGAATGGACTCAGCCACAGAGCAAAGGAACTGTGAGAGCAATGCACAGCATTGAGCTGGGTGCTGTCATTTGAGGGCAGGACCCTCTTGCCTCCTCCTTCTCTCTGGGGTAACAATGCCTGTTTGCCTGGTGATAACTGATGACACTCACAAGGTGAATGGCCACATTCAGTCCAACAATGTAGTCTACCAACTGCACTGGGATTGGACCCTTGGACTCCAGAAACTGCAAATGCAGACAAAAAGTTATGGGGTTTTGGAGATAAACAGGGGTCATGGTTGGGTCTTGACTTTAGGCAAGATCAGCAGAGCAGGTTTATGGTCTCTTCTCCTCCCCGCACTCTAGGCACCACACAGATGCAGCTGGAGGGACAGCTATGGAACCGGACAGTATTTCAACCCACACTCAAGATGTCAACCTACTTGCTTGCTTTCATCGTCAGCCAGTTTGACTATGTGCAGGAACAGAATAACGTCTCGGTAGGCGTGGCAGTGGGGAAGACCGCCTCCTTCTTGAGGGCCTTGGGAGCTCTCCTTGCTCGGAGGGATTTCTGGGCACCTATTCCAGGCAGGGACCCCAGGCCCTGCTCCCACCCAGGCTTGGTCCTCCACTGACGATCCTTGCTGAGACATCCCTATTCCGTTTCAGATGCGAATTTGGGGCCGCCCCAAAGCCATTGCAGAGGGCCAGGGAGACTACGGCATCAAGGTCACTGGACCCATCCTGGATTTCTTTGAGAAGCATTATTCCACACCTTACCCGCTGAGCAAACTAGGTTGGTGCAGAAGCAGGAGGGAGGGCTGACATGAGGGAAGCGGACAAGGAGCGGGCTTTGGGAAGGGCATGCAAGGCTCTGGCAGGGTCCTAGAGCCCTCCTTACTCCTTCTCAAAGCCTGGTGAGTGCTTGCCCAGCTTTAGGAAGGAGGGCTCTAGGACCCTTTCAGAGCCCTCACACCTCCTTCCCGAAACTGGGCAAACGATTCCTGGGCTTTGAGAAGACCCTCTCTTTGGCTGCATGCACAGTACCTCCACACCATTCACGCTGCCCTAAATCCGCCTCTGCTCTTATGATTCATTCCTGCTTATTCTGAAGCCTGATCTCCACTGTCAGAGACATTAAATGCCTCTGAATGGCAGTTGCCGGGAATCACTAGTGGGGAGAGTTGCTGCTGCTGTTGCGCTCAGGTCCTGCTTCTGGGCATCACCCTGGGACATCTGGTTGGCCTCTGGAAGGACAGGATGCTGGACCAGATGGGCCCTCCTTGGTTCTTATAACCTTCTTCTCCTGACTGTTCAACTGTTTCCACAGACCATACTTAGAGAAACCTAGGATGTTCTGGAAGTCTTGGGCTGCAACTCCCATCAGCCGCAGCCAGCTTGGCTGTGCTGGGGTAGACAATACATCCATGCTGGCTGGGCCTGATGGAAGTTAATAGGATGGCGGTATGGTAGCTTTGGAAGAGACCCAAAGGCTCATCTAGTCCAAGTCCCTGCAATGCACAGTGGTAGTTCAAGACACCTGGAAGGCAGCAAGGTGGGGAAACCTGGCTTGGGACTTCAGTTCCCTGTGGCTGAATGATAGGGCAGGTCTGCAGCCCCGCCAACTCTTTACAGTATGATAGTGCTGTTCACAAGTGGTTTTTAATATATACAGCACTGCTTCTAAAAAGGCCTAGGAGTGACAACTGACTCGCAGCTGTGGAAGCCTGGCTCGTAGTCCCAGCCTGGCTCATGGGACATTCTCTCCCCAGACCAGGTCGCCCTCCCGGACTTTAATGCCGGCGCCATGGAGAACTGGGGGCTGTTGACCTATCGTGAGAACTCCTTGCTCTTTGACCCGCTCTTCTCCTCCATTGGGAACAAGGAGCGGGTGCTGACCGTCATCGCTCACGAAGTGGCCCATCAGGTACTCTCTATGGGTTTTGGAACCACACGGGCCACTTGAGTGGGGAGGGGGATCTTGCACTTGGGTCCTGTTGATGGGTTTTTCCCTGGGGTACCTGGTTGGCCACTGGGAGATCTGAGTGCTGGACAGGATGGGCTGTGTTCTGGTCTAGCTGCAGGGCTCTTCCCAGGAACTCCTGCTCAGTCAATAGACCCTCTTCACTCTCATTGGCCGTTTTCTGAAGACTTCTCCCAGCCCATGAGGTGATTGTTGGCTGGGCACCTGACACACTTCAAACCCACCCAATACCATGCACCGAGGGAGTATTTGAGGGGGCTTCAAGGCTGACTAACCTCCTGCTTCCCCACCCCCAGTGGTTTGGGAACCTCGTGACCCTCCGTTGGTGGAATGACCTGTGGCTGAACGAAGGCTTTGCATCCTATGTGGAATATCTTGGTGCCAATGCGGCGGAGCCCACCTGGGATATTGTAAGTTGCTTTTGTGAGATAGAACAGGGCTGGATGGTGCTGGGAGGCTTCTGAGGAATAATGCAGCTCCTGACCCAAGTCCTTCTCAGGCAGCCTGAGTTCTGCAAAGGTAGCTGGCAAAAGGAGAGGGCTGGGTAGTGGGGGGTTTGGAGACATATTCACCCTGGAAATCAAAGATGGCTGCTTCCAAGTGATCTCAAGGTCCCTGGATTTCTCTGAAGGTGCTGATAAGGTCTTTCATACACTCATTTAAAGCACCTTCACCTCACTGCAAGAATTCTGCGAACTGTAGCTTACCCCTCACAGAGCTACAATTCCCAGCACTCTCAACAAACTACAGTTCTCAGGATTTTTTTGGGGGGGTGTGTGCTTTAAATGCATGGTGTACACAACCCCGGTCTCCCCACAAAACTGTAATTTTCATGGCTTCTGAGAATTAAGCTGGCTTGAGAAAGAGAGCTAGCTCAGTTGGTAGAGCATGAGACTCCTAATCTCAGGGTTCAAACCCTGCATTGGACAAAAAAAGAAATAGAAAAGAAGAATTCCTGCCTTGCAGGAAGTTGGACTGGATGACCCTCGTGGTCCCTTCCAACTCCATGATTCTATGAAAATAAACCCACACAGAGGCAGAGTGTGGATGTGGTCCATGTAGGAGCGAGGGAAGAGCTGGTCTTATGTTGTGGCAATGGTGTGGTTGCCACTGGAAGGGGCTCCCGTGTGGCACAGGAAGAGCCTCCAGAGCATGATGGGTCCCCTTTCCAGGTAGAAAGGGATGTAAATACAGTAGCAGGCAGTGAGCTTGGACCAGGGAGAACTAGATTTGAATCCTTGCTCAGCCATAAAGCTTTTGGCCAGTCACTGTCCCCCACCACACACTCTTACCTAAGAGTGTTTGTTGTGAGGATGGACCATGAGATTTTGGGGAACTGATTTGCAGAAAGACCTGATGGTCTCCAACGAAATGTACCGTGTGATGGCCATTGATGCACTGGCTTCCTCGCACCCGCTGTCCTTCCCCGAAGCGGAGATCAACACACCAGCGCAAATCAGCGAAGTCTTTGATGCCATCGCCTACAGCAAGGTGAGTGTGCCTTGGGTGGTTGGGTCTGGGGGAAGGTGGAGTGCCTGCCTCTCTTCCCTTCCCAGATGGAGCAAGTTTGGCTGCAGAGAACTGAGCTGGGAGCAGCCGCCGCCTCTCCCTTGGTACTTCAAAGCTAAGACTGGCAGAGGGCCACCCACCTATGAAAAGGTGGTGGTTCTGAGAGGATCTGCTGCATTACTGGGGCTTGTGGAATTATCCAAGCCTGGCTTTTGGGATTTACATTTGGGTGTGGAACCCCATCATGGGTGGGAGTGAGAGAGGACATCCTGTGGCCTCTCCCTTCACTGCCCTCTCCTCTCTCCACAGGGAGCTTCAGTCCTGCGGATGCTCTCCGAATTCCTCACTGAGGACCGCTTCAAAGAGGGGCTGAAGGTAAGGCCTGTCTTGGCAAGCGCTGGGTCGTTCATAATGATACCTGCACTGCCCTTGTCTGGCGCTTCCTCCCCCTGCTTTGCCATGGGGTTGGGTGTGTGGAGTGGGGAGAGACCTGGGTGAGCAAAGGGGAGGGTCTGTGTGTTCCCACCTCCCCAGCAAACTCTAATGGAGCAAAGGCAATGTGGGCTGCACACCAAGGAGGTATGGGCTTCCCAAGGGCCCAGTGGCAGCTGGGGTGGGGGGGCGTCAATCTCTCTCTCTCTCTCATTCACCTTCTGTTCTTTCTGCAGTCATACTTTAAGGCCTTCGCATACGGAAACACCGTCTACGATGACCTCTGGCATCACCTCCAGTTGGTACGTCCAATAGTCCGTCCATTTAAAATGCCAGGGGATGCTTCTAGTTAGGGTGGAAGGGCCATAGCTCAGTGGGAAGAGCATCTGCCTTGCAAGTCAAAGGCCCCAGGTTCAATACCGGTTGGTGTCTCCAGGGAGGGGCTGGGAGAGGCTCCTGCCTAAAATCCTGGAGAGCCATTGCTAGTCAGTGTAAGCAATACTGAGTTAGATGGACCAATGGTCTGACTCAGTAAAAGGCAGCTTCCTGTGTTCCTGGCCAGGCAGTGTCTGGAGGCTACTTCTCTCAGCTGCAGGTGGGGGTGAGCCTTCTTCCAAGGGGGAGGAGGGGCTTTCATAGGTCTCCCAACCATTGTTGCATCCTGGTTGGACGATGGTTTGTTCAACGTGCTGGTTATACAGGGCTCATCCAGACTTGCCCTTGTCCTGTGGATCTGAGTGGTTTCCCACTTGTCCTGCACTTTCTAGGCACAGGTCTGAGAGGTTTTGCCCTTCTCTTGCTGCTTTCTCCCAGAAAACACCCTCTTTATCAATAGATCGGTGCAAGTATCAATCTGGGGAAAACTCAATTGACATTTGCTCCAATTTGGCAGTAAAGATTGGGTTTCCCTGGGGAAAGGCAGCGGGGGCAAGGGCAAGTTTGGATGAGACCATAAACACATACACAAGGTTGTTAGACACAATATTGTTTGCTGTCTTGCATGAAGTTGCCTAATTCATTTTCAAAAGCCCACCCTTATTTATAAGAACACAATTGCTTTTTGTCTTCAGCGGGCAAACAGTCATCCTCTTAGCTAATTTCTGGAATTCTCAGAAACATCTGGAAACTGTGAACACACACACACACACACACACACACACACACACACACACTCCTTGGCCAAATATATTTCCCCTGGCCTTCCTCCAGCCTCTCCCCCCACCCTCGAGGATGGGCTTTCTAGATTCTGGGTTATCTTTGGAGCTTTCCTTGAAGCCACTGACTTCTCCTCAGCAAGCATGCATTTGGCCCTGTGATGCCAGGAACTCAGGTCTTTGAATGAACATGGCTTGGCCAAGGCTGGCTGTGCCTTGGTCCAACAGCTGCCTGGGTCTTAGACTTGCCTGCCTCAGGATGGTTGCATTGATTGACTTCCCTGGGCCCAAATGTCCCCTCTGCCCGGTTGGCTCCTTTGCAGTGCAGCTCCCTTTCAGTCCACGATCTCCTTCTTGGGCTTTTTGCTGAGCGCTGCTTCCGTGTGTGTAACAACTTACAGCTGTGCATTTGGCATCCCCCGGTACAGCCGTTGCTCAAACCCTGAGCTCATTTTGAATCCTCCTCTCCTGCTGGCATTTTGCTGTCAACAGATTTTAAGCACGTCCCCCTACATCAGGGCTGCCAGTCAGCCCATCTCCTGCTCTGGGCACTGCCCACTTAGACGGGTGTCAAATTTGGCTGAAGAGGGAAATCCACAGGATCTGAGTATAGCTCAGCCTTCCTCTCTTTCTGCTCTGTTCCTGCATTATCCACCACCCCATGATTTTCACCCTTCCTGCTTATTTAATTGCCTCTACCTTTTCTCTTTTTTTCTCCACCTCCTCCCCCCAGCCCACTCTGCTTTTGCATATTCCCTCAAAGGTTGCTTCTCCTTCCAAGCCTTAGGTTTTTTGCTCCCACCGGCCTCTTCTCCAGTCGCAGGAGCCTCAGTGACCGTGACCTGCTTCCATTTCTCTTTGCCACCCTTTCCCCTCCTTCAGTCGCATCTCTCACTGTTGAAGTTTAGACTGCAAGCTGCTGGGGGCAGAGACTTTCCTTTCCCTTGCTTGTGATGCTGAACAGTTCAGTGTCTCCTGTGCTAAATACCGGACCGACTTCATTCTCCAGAGAGGGAGGGAGGGAAGAAGAGAGCTTTTCATGGTAGTTTTTGTTCTCGGGCACTCTTTGCTTTCTGGCATGTGACCCTGTGCCAACAGCCCCACTCCCTTTCCTTCTGCCTCTGCACACGACTTGATGGAGGAGGCTGAAAAGGGGAGGAACAGCTCCCTTATACCAAGTCAGAGTCTAGGTCAATCTAGTTCAGTATTGTCTACACTGACTGGCAGCAGCATGCCAGGGTTTCTAGGAAGGAAGTACCTCCCAGCTGAGGATTGAACCTGGGACCTTCTGCATGCAAATCAGATGCTGAGCTTTGCCCTTTCCCCTTAAATATTACCTTTGGGGTTTTCAACAGAACTGGGTTATTTCCTGGTTGTCCATCCATAGCTATGAGGGCTAAACCCTTAAGTGGGGCTGGAGGGCTCAGCCCTAGGAGGGCACCTTGAAGCAACATAGAGTTTTGGCAAGGGGTGTGTGACTGTGACCAGAAGCCACAGCTGAGTGTTTTGCATTGATTGCATCTGACAAAGCTTATGATGCCATAATGCGTTTGGTAGGCTTTACATTGCCACAAGTCTTCTTGATTTTGTTTTTGTTTTTGCTATGAATCCCTGTGCCTCATTAACACTCCCTCCTTTGGACAGGCAGTAGATCAAGACAGGTTTGAACTCCCTGGCACAGTCAAAGAAATCATGGACCGGTGGACCTTGCAGATGGGCTTCCCAGTGGTGACTGTGGACACCGCTACTGGGAGCCTCACTCAGAAGCATTTCTTGCTGGACCAAACATCTGTTGTTGACCGACCCTCACAATTCAAGTAAGTAGGGAGCCCTGAGCCACAGACTCCATGGAAAGGCCACATTCAGTCCAGAAAGACCTGGAGGAAAGAGTGTGCTTGTGTCCAGAGAATTGTGGCCATTGGCAGTTCCTGGCAGGGCATCACTAGACTCCCTGGCCAGTGCACTCTCCTCCTCCTCCTCCTCCTTGGAAGCCAAGAGACCTTTGGCTTGATTCAGGACAAGGGAGGACACACCTGTCTGTTTCTTTCTGCAGCTACACCTGGATCGTCCCTATCTCCTCAATGAAGTCAGATAATCCAATACCTTTGTACTGGCTCACAAGCACAACAGGTACCCTTCACTGCGACCATCTTCCCAGCTTTACCGTGATGTCGCTGGGATTATTATTGCATTCAATTGACTTTTACTCAAAATACACCCACTGAAATTCATGGCTGTAGCTAACTGAGGACCATTAATTTTCAAAGGGTAAAAGTTCGTTGAATACAACTTCTTCTCTTCCTCCTCCTCTTCCTCCTCCTCCTCCTCCTCCTCTAACATATTACCCACCCTTCACCAACAGGCCCCAGGGCAGCTTACAACTATTCAATATTCAATATTTAAAATAGCTAAGTTGCAGTCACAGGAGTAGGGCGGCTCCTGAAAACATGTATCTTGGGTGTGAAAGGCCAGGGTAAAGAGGTTCGTCTTCAGCATACATGTGGGGAGGGAATTTCACAACTTAAGGGATGCCACAGAGAATGCCTTCTTCTCTCAGGTGTTCTGAACCGCAGACCCAAAGGAGGCCTCATGGGAGTGGTTGGGTGCAGGATAACAAAGAAGGATGCCCAAAACACCAGAATGGTCAGTTCTAGTGTTTTATTAAGAAGAAGGGTGTAGACTTGCAGCAAATCAGCCTGCCAGGTCTCCTAGCCTTTACAGACATGGGACGGGCACCTCAGCAAGGGGACAGGTTGTCCTCACCCAAGCAAACATTCATACATTTTTTTAATACACAAAGCAGTATATGTCACTTTGTCTAGGACTTCTCATCGCTTCACCTGACTAGAGGAGACGACAGGTGGCAACTACCCAAATCTTACAGATAGTTCCCCTTTCTGGGCTCAGAGCCCAGCGCCCAAGCCCATAGATAAGGATAACATCAAAGCAAAAAATATAAACATATATGAGTTCGTTGCTACAACTACTAATAAATTATGGGGTTATCTTGACTACTGAGATGGTGTTTGCAGAGCATCCAGAACAGTTCACCTTTGGTTCAACACACTGGGCCACCCCCACAAATTTCTGAGGGTGGAGGAACTACCTAGAGGGCTCTCTCTGCTGATCTTAGCACCTGGGAGGGTCTGTAGGGAATGATATATTAGGCTTTTCAGACCAAAGTACTGGGTCACCCCAACCTTGCAAGATGGTTGCTTGGTTGAGGCTTTTAATTAAGTTTTGTGGTCAAGTAGGCAAAAGTGGCACCATCCTATTCACTGGCTAGCTAGAGAAGAGGGACAGCCATCCCCATTGCCAAGAGGGCAACTTGCCCCTGCTCTCTGTTTCCCTTCAGTGGTCTGCATCTACCTTGTATTCATTTGACTGGGTGGCAAGTCTTTGTGGTGGACTTGGTCCACCTTTCTAGCCATCTTTCCTATAATCACCCTTTGTAGCTGGGCCACTCTGAGCCCACCTTGGCAGGGGGAGAGGAGTTGGCTCTGGAGAACGGGTCTCTCTAGGGCACACGCAAGGTCACCCCTCTCTCTCTTTCTGCAGCTCAGATCTCCAACTTCTCAATTGGGGCTGATCCTAACACGTGGCTGCTCCTCAACATTAACGTCACAGGATATTTCCGAGTGAACTATGACCAGGGGAACTGGGACAGGCTCCTGGAGCAGCTGAAGACAGACCACCAGGTAGCCACAGACCTGAACTCCCTTCTTCCCCTTTCTACACAACCAGGGTCCCATTCATCTGAGCACAGCTAGGAGCCCAGGCAGGTCTCCATCTTCCTCCAGTTCAGCTTCTTCAAGGTCTAACTGGAGAGTCTGTGAGGCAAAGGCTCCCCCCCTTTCTCCTCCACAGCCCTTGAAATTTGGTGACTGATGGAGGTGTGTGTGTGTGTGGGGGGGGAAATACTGTTCCTGACTCAGTATTAATTTATTTCATAAAATTTATACACTACAGTGGTACCTTGGGTTACATACGCTTCAGGTTACATACACTTCAGGTTACATACTCCGCTAACCCAGAAATAGTGCTTCAGGTTAAGAACTTTGCTTCAGGATGAGATCAGAAATTGTGCTCCGGCGGCGCGGCAGCAGCGGGAAGCCCCATTAACTAAAGTGGTGCTTCAGGTTAAGAACAGTTTCAGGTTAAGTACGGACCTCCGGAACAAATTAAGTACTTAACCCGAGGTACCACTGTACTTGATTGCAAAAAAACCCACACACCATCACAGTGGTTTACAAAAGGTAAAACAGTAAAATCAAGGGTGGGAGGGAATTATTCTGCTGAAAATGGCTCCCAGAGTGGCTGACAACAACCAGTAGTGCTATAAGACTGACTTTGCTCCCAGGGTTACAATCTAAGTGACATAGCACAAAAGGAAATGGTCTGTTTCAGACAGACTGGGAGCCCCAAACCAGGGACTGGTCCACAGCTCTGAACTAGCAGGAAATGTCAGCAGTGTTCTGCCTTCATCATGAGTCTCAGGTGAATGTGGGAACCTGGCCTTGCAAAGCAGGTGGGGCGGGGCTCCCCTATGGCTGGATTTGGCTTGGTCTAACACAGAGGTTTTCAACCTTTTTGAGTCTATAGCTCCCTTGACCAACTACATTACATTCTTTCTCTGGCACCCCTGTGGGGCTCAGGAGCCCAGTTATGTCACCCTTTGCCTGCAGAGCTGGCAGCCTCTCACCCTTTTCCACACACCCTCCCTTGTGGAGCGTTCCCTCAGCCTCGTCTCCTCTCCTCTCTCCTTGGAGCTGCTGTTGCCGTGCCTGGTCTCTGAGCTGCCCCCGCCCCAAAGAGAGGTGCCTCCCAGAGGCACCATTCGCCTGAGGAGCTTAGAGCCAGGGCTGCTACAACAAACAGCTGTGCAAGCCTTTCGGAGGCAGAGACGTAAGAGGGCATCAGAGGAGGGAGGAAAGGAAAGAGGGACAGAGCCGGTGTTGCCTGCGACACCCCTGACCAAGTTTCAAGGCACCCCAGGGTGCCACGGCACACTGGTTGAAAACCACTGGTCTAACGTTTCAGCCCCTTTCCTGCCCTCACCCTTTCCTACCAGCCTGCCCCTCCCTCCTGTTCCTCCTATTCTGACCAGCAACTTCTGCTGTTTTCCAGAAAATCCCAATTCTTAACCGTGCTCAGCTGATCGATGACTCCTTCAACCTGGCCAGGTGAGACTTTGGGTTACCTAAAGCTCCCCTGTATCTGGGAGTCACTAATCTCCATATACACCCGCAACCCTATTCAAGCCGAACCTCTGTCCAAGGGCCCCCTGGTGGCGTATGAGGATACAGCAGGGTTCTTGTGCTGCTTTGATGCAGAAGTGGCTATTGTCGGTGCTCTCAGGTCCAACCTGCCTGGTCCTTCCTGGGCTGGCCTCTGGAACCAGCGAGCCAGTCTGGGGTTGACGCACATACCCCCCACCCACTTATGTGGAGTGTGCATGCTCTCATTTTTCCAAGACACCCAGGCTTACTGCTGCTCTTGTGTAAAATCAAAAGAGTGTGAGGTGCCCGAGCTCGTCTGCCCAGAAATTTCCCCTTGCAAAGGTCCATTGGGTCCCCTAGTAGTGACAGCAGGGCACTTTGCCCATGCTCAGGAGCTTCACATCTTCCTGGGCCAGCCTTCCACATCCTGATGCCTCCAGATGTTTTGGATTATGGGCTCTTTCAGACTGTTGCAGCTTTTGCATGGGATTCAGTCACATCTTTGCAAATTTGGATTGCCTTGTTATAGTTGACTGGGACTTTTGCACAGCCAAAGCTGCTCTCCCAAAAGAAACAGGCCTTTTGCAAGAAGGGAAGTGACGAGGAAACAAGTAACTGCACATTTATTCAAAATTCAGTGTAAACTATTTAATTTAATCCATTCAACAAAATGGATGGACTCGAACCAGTGATACCAGCTTTTCAAATTCTGATAGTCATTTACACCTTCAGCACCCACTTAACCCTAACCCCTTGCCTCTTAGTACCCCCTAGGCAATCCTCCCCCGGAGCACCCTCATTGGAAATCACTGGTCTAAAACACCTGGAGGGCTCTAGGTTGCAAAAGGCTGCATAAGGCTCACTGCTGGCACTGCAAACAGGACTCTGGGTTAGGTTTTGATCCAAGAATTGTGGGGGTGGGCAATGACTTCCTGTGGTCTTGGTGGCCTTAAATGCAGGGCTGCTGAACTGTGCAGGGGATGGGAGGGGCCCCACCAGCCTGCTCCACACACACCCTCCACCCAAAGCGGTCTCTATCTTCCAGGGCAAATTACACCAGCACGGAGCTGGCCCTGAACACCACCCTTTACCTCGGGAATGAGAGAGACTACCTGCCCTGGAGTGCGGCACTCAGCAACCTGGGCTACTTCCAGCTCATGTTCGACCGCAGCCAGGTGTATGGGCCCATGCAGGTGAGCTCTGGTCATGGGTGGGGGTTCCAGGGATGAGGGGCACCAGGTGGGCTGGGAGGGAGGAGGAGGAGAGAGTGTCACTCCTGCAGCCTCTGAGAGCTCCCCCCCAGCCTCACCCTACAAATGGGGAAGGGCATTCCCAGCCTAGTGCTAATCAGGGATGGAGTTGGGCAGGGGGCTACAAGGCAGGCACCGGCCCATTTCTTTCTTAGAGAGAACGTTGCCTAATGACTGCTGGGTTGTTCTCCTCTTCCTCTGCAGAAATACATCCAGAAGCAGGTCACTCCTCTGTTCAATTATTATAAGAACCTCACCGCTAACTGGACCAAAATCCCAGATGGCCTGATGGACCAGTGAGTTTCCTTGGACCGAGGGGAAGGTGTTGGGGGGGCACTGGAGGGGCTAGGCTGGGGTTGACAACTGGCCTGGTTGGGGCAGGAGAACCCTCAAAGGAGGGGCTGAGCAGGTTTGGCTAATCTTACTGGCCAATTGTCTCTGCAATGCAGCAGCAGGTGGGGGGGGGGGCTCTGTTGCCTCTTGCTCCTCTTTCCAGCTCTCACTTTGGCCCCGGGCAGGGGGGAGGTGGGTAGATAAGCCTCCATCCCATCATTTCACAGTGGCAGGGGAAAAGGCTGAGAGGCTTCCTCTGTGCCTGAAGAATGGTGCTCCAAGCTGGGAACACACTGTGCCTGGGATTTCCAGGTCCAAGCTGCAGCCAGGAGGCCTCTTGAGTTGCTTTTCTCTCCAAGTCATAGAACCACCAAATTGTAGAGTTGGAAAGGACTCAAGCTTTATGAGGAATGGCTGAAGGAACTGGGTAGGTTTAGCCTGGAAAAGAGGTGACTGACAAGAGATATGATAGCCATCTTCAAATACCTTAAGGGCTGTCACATGGAAGACGGAGCAACCTTGTTTTCTCCTGTTCTGGAGGGTTGGTCTTGAACCAATGGCTACAAGTTACAAGAAGGGAGACTAAACATCACAAAAAACTTTCTGGCACTAAGAGCTGTTTGACAGTGAAATGGTCTCCCTCAGGAGGTTGTGGACTCTCCTTCGCCAATATTCTATGACCTCAAGGTTCATCCAGTCCAACACCCTGAGTTTCCTTTCCTTGCCCAGGTACAACGAGATCTCCGCCATCAACACAGCCTGCTCCTTTGGCATCTCTGAGTGCCAGAACTTGGCCAGTGACTTGTTCAACACTTGGATGAATAATCCCAGCAATAACCCGTAAGTGTTTGTGGCTGTGCCTGAATGGTCTAGGACAGACCTCTGGGGAGCCCTCTGTCCCTTGAGCAGGCCAATCCCTCAGGCTGGTTTGGGTTCACATCCACACCAAACCATGAAAGCACATTTGTAGAACTTTAACAGTCACTGCTTCCCCCGGAAAATCATGGGAACTGTAGTTTACCCCGAAAGAGCTATGATTCCCACTGCCCTTAAGAAACTACAGTCCCTAAGATTCTTTGCAGGAAGCCAAGTGCTTTAAGTGTGGAAGTGACCCTCGCTTTTTCCAAATGTAAAGGTTGCAATCAGATACATCATTTCCAGTAATTCCCACAGAGCACAGAGAGATTTACTTCCAAGTAAGCATGCACATGGTTGCATTGGAGAGGCAAATCCTCTAGATCAAAGTGTAACAGCAGTGCCTTTTTAGGCCAGTCAGGCAAGTTTGCATCTCTGTTTCGTTTTGCAGAGAAAGTCCACTCCTGCAGGATCTCAGGACACAAGAGTGATCCATGTGTCCTCAGCTGCTGCATTGCCAGCTAATCATAAATTTAGTTTATTTATTTAGCAAGTTTTATATGCCGCTTAATCAAAATCAAATACATTTCTAAGAGTGGTTTGTGCGGGATGTAAAACACAGGAGCAGTCAATTACAACATTCCTAGAGCGTACATGTTTAAACATGGGGAGGGATGTCTGTCCAGCCAGCAGGTAAACTTCCTGGGACAGACTTCCTCTGTATGTGACTAGAGGTGGGTGTGGCCTCACCTGTGCAGGTAATGATAAAAGCACAGGGCAGGGCAGCCATCTCTCTCTTGTTCTCTTGCCTCTCTCTGCCATCTTCCTTCGAAGAAGTAACATCTGCTAAAGATGCTCTCTTGGCTCCCAGCCAAGAGAGGAGAAAGGGACTATCTTCCTATAAGATAGATTCTAAATGTATATTACCTTATTAAGCCTGTCTGCCTTCTGGGATCCTATTGTGAACAGAAAGTGAGTAAACTCTTTTTATACTTTTATAAAAGACTGTGTCGTGTCTTGTATTTTAAGAGGGAACAAAGGGGAAATTACCAGAGTGATTATTATAGAGGTCCTAGCAAACCTGAGCACACGTTACCGTTGTGAACTTAAAAAGGGAATGTCCTACTCTGCTGATATTTTGGGTACTTGTTAGCACAAGTTGGATAAGGATATAATCTCACAATATATCCTCTCCTGCATCCCTGAACATTCCCACAGTTTGCAGACTAGTATTATTATTGTTGTTGTTTATTTATATCCCACTTTTCTCCTGGACCAGGGCTCAAGGTGGCTTACAAATAAAAATTGCGGAACAAAGATAAAATAAAAGAACTAAAAATCATTAAAAATCAACTAAACACCAATAGGATTAAAACAATATATATAAAAATAAATCCATAAAAAATAGGATCTGTTAATAACAGCAATAAAATAGTAGCATACAATATTCACTGGGGTGTAAATGCATATCTTAAGGGCATAAAATGAGTATTTTAAATTGTAAAACAGAAACTTTAATAAAAGTTATGCAAAAAATTGAATCGTTTATTCATTCTCGCCTTCAGGATTGCACCCAACCTGCGCTCTGCCATCTACTGTAGTGCCATTTCTACAGGTGGGGAGGAGGCCTGGGACTTTGGCTGGCAGATGTTCCTGAATGCCACCGTGGTGTCTGAGGCTGACAAGCTCCGTTCTGCTTTGGCCTGCAGCCAGGAGCCCTGGATCCTCCAGAGGTGAGGTGGCCCCAGCCGGACAAGGCCCTTGTAGGGTGGAGGTGGGGATGGGGAGGATGCGCCAGGCTTCTTCAGAGCCTAGGGACGAGCAGGGGCCAGCCTTCCTCTGGTGCCGGGGGTCAGGTCTGTGGCCCCCTTTCCCCTGGGAGATGCACTCCCAGGAAGCAAGCGGCAAGGGGCAGATGTGGTCTTCAAGGACTGAATAAGGTGGAGTGAGGGCCAGGCTTCAGCCAGGAGGGGGCCGCCTGGTGCCAGCCAGCGGCGTGAACTTGGGCCCGCCTTCACTGCAATGGGATGACGTTGCAGCGCAGTGCGGGCACATGCGCTCCAGATCCACAGCGACGCCTGAACCAGGGCCTGAGCCTCCACCGTGGGGTCTCTGTCTGCCACATGGCCTCCACCCAGAGCTGCAGCGGGCCCCAACAGAGGCCCATGGCAGAGTTGCAGGCCCTGGCCCAGTTGCCACTGGGGCGCCTGAATGCCAGAGGTAATGCAGTGGTGGTGGTGGTGAGGTTGGGCAAGGGTGAGGTTTTGTGGGTGCCCAGACCCCCAGGGTCCCCTGGAGTTGCTGCCAGTGGTGCCAGCTCAAGGACCTGCCCCCATCCGGTTCCACAGGTACCTTGAGTTCTCGCTGGACCCCACGAAGATCCGCCGTCAGGATGCCACGTCCACCATCATCAGCATCTCCAGCAACGTGGTTGGGCAGGGCCTTGTGTGGGACTTTGTCCGGGCCAACTGGAAGACGCTCTTTGAACAGTGAGTGGGGTGATTTGAACTGATGACAGGGGAGGGGCATTGGTTGTGTGTGTTTGTGTGTGCCCAGGCTCACCCTTTCCTCCCATTACCCCCCTACCCACCGAAACAGGTACGGTGGAGGCTCCTTCTCCTTCTCCAACCTGATCCAGGCGGTGACGCAGAGATTCGCTTCCGACTTTGAGCTCCAGCAGGTAAGGACCGTATACAGTCGGAGGAGCAGGAGGGAGGCCTGTGCAGAGTGTGGGTGGGGGGCAAACACCTTGATGAGCCAGAAACCATGACCCTTCGCAGGCCACCCAAAGGATGCCAGGCACTCCTCAGAACACCCAAGGCTTGGTGTGGTGCTGGAAAGACTGCCCCATGGAGCTGGGTCACAGCCTCCCCCAGTTCCAGACCACCACATCTGTCCTCCACTTGTTTGAAGTGGGAGCTTCCAAACTGTCCTGGGCAGCCATACTTTAATCAATAAGGGTTATAGTGTAAATTAAACAACTGATTTTTTTTAAAAAAAACAGGTTGTTTTTTTTAAAGGGGCTGCTCAGGTGAATTGCACGTCCATCCTCTCCCCCCACCTCCCACACCCCTGTGGCTACTGTTGTGTTCATTCTTTTTCTTTTTAAATATATTCCTTGCCTTCCACTAGCAGGTCCCAGGGCAGGTTGCAAAAATTTAAGATTAAGTGTTAAGAAGTGGGCCAATTCTTTACAAAACAAAATGGGTTCTGTTCTATATGGGTTGCTCATATAGCAAAGGATGGTGTTGGTTACCCCAGTGTAACGCACATAGCACTTTTTAGTTAAAAATCCATAATTGCTTGTTTATGTTCCATCTCCCCTCCAAGGTGGAATATACATAAATGTGATAGATAATTCATCCGCACAACCACCCTGCAAGGTAGGTTAGGCTGAAAGAAACTGGGACTGGCCCCCAAGGTCGTCCAGTGAGCTTCATGGCTGAATGGGGTGTGTGTGGATTCGAACCCAAGTCACCCAGGTCCTAGTCCAGCATTCTGACCACTTCCTCACACTTCCCGAAGATGACAGTGATGACCCCCTGCCTGCTTTCTCTCCCTCCCGGCAGCTGGAACAGTTCAAGGCAGACAACGCGGATGTGGGCTTTGGCTCTGGGACACGAGCGCTGGAGCAGGCCCTGGAGAAGACGAAGGCCAACATCCAGTGGGTGGCTGCGAACAAGGAGCCTGCCCTGAAGTGGTTCCAGAGCCAGCTGTGAAGGTCTGGGGGATCAGGCTGAGGTTGTCCGCAAGCAGTTTGCCTGTCTTTCCACAGTGCTCTGGAGTCCCCCTTTACTGCCAAAGCTGTCTCTTCTCCCCCATCCTTCTGTGAGCCTCGTCCTGCTCCTTCCTGGCCACTGAAGAGGCCTGGCCACGTCCACCACCCCAGATTCCTTTCTGCCCTGGGGCAAACGGGCCACGCTTGCTTCTTCGCACTGCCCAGAAGCCTCTTCTCTTGCACTGCCTGTTTCCACATCTGCCTCAGGGGTCCTGGGAGGGGGGAGGGAGGGGAAAGAGAGAGGGGTCCCCCTCTCGTCCATGGTGATGTTCCCCCACCCAGAAAGCTCTGTATATTTTTATATCCCTAACTTTATAAATTTTTAAACCCTAACTTTATAAATTAAAAATAGTATCCTGAATTATATGCCCAGGCTGTTCTTTAGTTTATTAGTGGGAGGGGTGGGGTTCTCTGTAGCTCTGTGTATCCCCCCCCCCACCAATCTTTGTGATTTGAAAGAGAACAGGTCTTTGGGGAAAGAGAAAGAGAAAGAGAAAGAGAGATAACCTAAATCAGTGGTTCCCAAACTTTTTCAGGCAACTTTTCCTTGGTTCCATAAACTCATCCCCAGTGCCACTGCTCTACCCAATAAAAGCTGCTTGCACTACCCACTTAGGAAGATAATAACACAATAAAATTCAAAGCAGTAACAATTAATTGCATGTTTATTCAAAATCCAAGTAAAACCATTAAGTTTAATTAATTCAACAAAATGGATGAAATTGATCTGGTGATACCAGATTTTCAAAGTCTGGTAGTCATTTACACCACCAGCATCCCTGGCTGCCCCCTTGCCTCTTAGCAGCCCCCTGGGGAGGGGGCAGTTCTGCCTACTTTGGGAACTGCTGGTCTAAAACAAACAAAAATAACCTTGGATCCAAGCAAGAAGACTGCTACTTATTAAACAAACAAGTGGTTTTTTTTGCTACTTTTAAGTGTGTGGCCTTGTGGATCCTCACAACAACCCTGTGAGGTAGGGCAATGGCCAGACAGAGAGGGCTCAATGAGTTTGTGGTTGAGCAAAGGTTTGAAGAACCCAGCGGGTCCCTGGGAGCCAAGTCCCCAACTGCGCTTGCTGCAGTCAGAGTGGGTCTTTGGACTGGAAACCTCCAGAGAGAGAAGATGCTGTTGTCCTGATTGTGCCCCAGCGTTTGGGAGCTCTGAAGAAGAGGATCTCCTGCTGATGGGGACGAGGATGCCTTCAGTGCAGGTGGAGGCTGCTCAGGACAACCACAGGACCTCCTCCTTTGCTGTGGCTTCTCCTCTGTGGCTGCTTCTCACCCAGCAGACTCACCCTCTTAAGGTCTGGCTGCTCCACAGGAAACCACAGGAAGGGTGCTGGGTGGGGAGGTCCCAAGTAGCTCTGTAGGTGCCGTCCTGAGGAAACCAAGAAAGGAATCACAGGTGGGTAGGGAGAAGCAGCTATCAGGCAGCACTCTGTCGGGCGAACTTAGTTTTGGAATCTATTTATGTTATTTTTATAAATTATAAATATATATTAATTGCATTTATACCCCACCTTTCCCCCCAAGGAGGCATACATGGTTCTCTCCTCCGGTTATTCACCACAACAGCGCTCAGGCTAGGCTGCGAGCGAGTGACTGGCCCAAGGTCCCCCAGTGAGGTTCATGGCTGAGTGGGGATTTGAACCCTGATCTCCCAAGTCCCAGTCTGACACTTCCACCATTATACTACACTGGGGTATGCACACTGCACATAGAAATGCACTGCAGTTACTAGGACTCTTTGTTGTTTATCCATCTTCCCTCTACATTCCCTATACTGAGCATTTTGCAGTGTATAGTAATATTTCATGCTTTTTAAAGATCTGCTTGCCAGAAAAATAAGTAAATAAAAAACAAACCAAGTTGTCAATACTTAATATAATATGGAGTGTTCCATTACACACAATAACATAGAACTAGATATATATATATCAAAGAAGGGTAAGAAACATTATTGAGGGCTCTTTCATTGAAGGAGAATAGAAAAAGATCAGGACTGTTCATCTTAACAAAGGCATGGCTAAAGACCCTTTATAAAAAAGGGTGCATGCAAATCATAAATAGGGTTTCATCATTTCACATGGTACTGGATTTAGAAATCATCAAGGGCTGGGTTACTCTGCACATGTTCAGGGAAATGCATGTTTTCCATATATTCCAGAGCTGGAACTTCTTATTCAAATCCCAGCCAGTCCTGGCTCAAATGTAGTTCAAAGCCTGCACCTGGGAGGCAGGGAAACCAAATCCCCCCTCCCCTTGGCTGTATCTTTAATTAATTAACATTTTTATTGTTTCCAAGAGTGGGTTTCCAGCAATACGGTATCCAGTTACGAAATGAAAACAAGTAAAGCCGTAGCAACCCTCTGCCTGCTTCAGAGAGATCTAGCAGCCTCCCACTCCCATCCGTGGGGCACTCGTGTCAGATGCAACCCACAGTCAGGGCTGGGGAACCCCGCAGGGGGTCAAAAGCCACGTGGCGATCACCGCCCGGCGCAACAGCGTTGCTCACCAGGAGACGCAAAGGACTTTTCCCCCCACCAGGGGGCAGCCCGCTCTCTTCGCTGCAGCAAGGAAACCAGCGCGGGGGGTGGGAGGGTCTCCGGGCCAGCCTTCTCCACCCTGCAGCCCTCCAAATGTTTTTGTCTACATCTCTCATCAGCCCCAGGGTCATCCTACAGCCGTGTTGGCTGGGGCTGATGGGACTTGCAGTTGAAAACATCTGGAAGGCACTAAGAGAGAGTGTCTTTGGACATATTAATTGGTTAAAAATACATCCCAGCAGCCTTCTTCGTACTGCAACCCAGGGCAGCTGACAAACAACATCAGAGCCAAATGCACAAATCAGCGTTTGTGCGCAAAAATCAACGAAGCCAACGAGACACGATGGTGGAGACAAAGGGAGAAAAGAGGTTTTCTTGTCCATTGACAGCACGTGTGTTTCTCTCCCTACTGAGTACCACTGCACAGCCACACAATCTGGGAGGATCCGATTTCTCCCGAAGCCAGCCTGCCTTTAGACACCCTGGGCTGCTCCTATACCCCCTTCCCCAGTTCCATAACGCAAGACAGGTGGGAGGCTGCCTTGCAGGTTCCCGTGCCTGATAGGGGGGTGGGGGTTGTGCATGTGCTGCCAGTCTTGGGGAGATGCTTTTCAAAAGCATTGGTGCCAAGGCGAGCTGCAGTTTGGAAGTTGCAGGATGTCTAGCATCCTGGAATGTGGTCCTGAGCAGGGTAAAGAGGGAGCCCCGCCAAGGCAAAAGGGCAACGGGCCCTGGCAGGGGTTGGGAGGGGGCACTTTGCCAGGAGGAGAGGCACCCCCATGCAGCACCTACCTTGCAGCCAGGTGACTTTTCAAGGTCCCAGGCTGGCCCTTCCCAGGTGACAACAGGGGCATCTGCTGCTGTTTGCTCCCCAGGCCAGACTCTGCCTGGTTTGCCCATGGGCGACCTCATGCAAGGTGAGAGAGGGCAAGGAGTCCTCTGTAGCTCAGGAGAGGTCTGGATCTGAAGAGGCACCCAGGTTTCTGCAACGGCAGCAGGAGTCTCATCCTGGAGGCCACAAGGAGGCAGTGGCCAGGTTCTAGAGTCGGGGACCTGGACCCCCTGACCTATTCCGATCAGGCAGGGTGGGGAGGCCGTCCAAGTCTCAGGGGCTGGTCGGTCCTGGGCCGGGGACTCTGTGGTGTCCTGGTCTGACCTCCTTGCCTGGCAGCAGCCAAGCCCTGAGAAGCACAGGGGGCAGTGAGGCCGCGCCAGCACTGCCCTCCTCTGTGCCAGCGCCTCCTCACTGAGGCCCAGCTGCTCAGAGAGGTGGGTGATGTAGCGGATGGCCAGGCGGAGCGTCTCGATCTTGGTCAGGCTCTGCCCAGCGGGTGCCACCGAGGTGGGCAGGTAGAGGCGCAGGGTGTGCAGGGCCTGGGCCAGGCGTCGCATGCGGTGCTTCTCTCTCTGGCTGGCACTCTGGCGCTGGCTGCCGGCAGCGAGGCATGATGCCCTCTGGGGTGCCCTGGCCTTTGGGAGCCAGCGGTGGGCCTGCTCTGGGACCAGGCTCTGGCTGTGAGCCGTGGAGGGGCTGCAAATGCTCGCGGAGGGGGCAGAGCAGGAGCTGGCCTGGCCCCACGTCATGGCCCAGCTGGGGACAAGGAGGTCCTGGTCAAAGAGATGGGCTGGAGAGCCGGACATGAGTGGAGGACGCGGCCACTTTGGCCTGGACGTGGGAGGGGTCCTCTTTATGCTGCCCTGGGAGGTGTGAAGTGGCACCTCACAGGTTTGTGGGAGGGGTCAAAGGCCACAGGGGGGCCCCCAGCCCTGGAGCTGTGGGAAAGGTGGCCTCATTTGCAAAGGTGTGACTTTTCGCTCCTCTGCTCCTGATCGTTGCCACCCTGGGCTTGGGAAGTGTGCAGAAGGCAATTCACACAGTCCTGTCAGCTGCTAATTCTCTTTCCAAGCCTCTCTTGGCTCCTACTGCCTCCCCTCCTTGGCCCAGGGCTCCTGAGTAGTTGCCCTCACAGCAAATATGAGGGGACCTTGACCTGCCTCCAAGGAGACCTGTCCTGCTCCTTCCCGCAGTTACTTCCCCAGCACCCCAAAATGTGCAACGCTGTTTGCTGCAAGACCTGTAGATTTCTCTTCCCGGGAAGGTTCCACAAATCCAGAGAGAGAGAGAAATTGCCTTCCCCGACTTGGTTCCTTCCTATCAGCCCCAGACAGCATGGCCTTCATGGGAGAGGGAGAAAAGCTGTTCCCAGTCCCTTGTTTCTCCTTGTATAGTACAGTGGTACCTCAGGTTACATACGCTTCAGGTTAGAGACTCCACTAACCCAGAAATAGTACCTCGGGTTAAGAACTTTGCTTCAGGATGAGAAAATAAATCGTGTTCCGGTGGCGCAGCAGCAGCAGGAGGCCCCATTAGCTAAAGTGGTGCTTCAGGTTAAGAAAAGTTTCAGGCTAAGAACGGACCTCCAGAACGAATTAAGTACTTAACCCGAGGTACCACTGTATTCAGGAGAGTGACATCATGTGGGATGCATATAGTACTGGACCTTTCTTTCCCTCCACCACCTAGCAGATGAATGGCGGTGTGTTAATTAATGCTTCTGGGTGGGCAGGTAGCAGGTAGTGCTCAAGATGGTGCCCCAGTTTCAGTGGTGGTGGTGGGCAGGGGAAGGCACGGTGGGAGTGGTGGGGTGGACCACCACCTGGGGCTGAGGCCTGGGTGTTTGGCCTCCATTCCTCGTTCTAGCCCTCTCACTCCACTGGAGGTTACTGGCAGCATATCTGCCGAGCCCTCTGGCCTGGTGATGCTGTTGCTGGACACCAAATCAATCTCTAATAAATCCATGCTCATTCACAATTTGATGTTGGGATAGATTGATCTCAGCATTGTGGTTCAAGCCCCACGTTGGGCAAACGATTCCTGCATTGCAGGGGGTTGTGCTAGATGATCCTCGTGGTCCTTTCCAACTCCACAATTCTGTAATTGTGGATGAGCAGGCTGATCTGGCTTATGCGAGGAAGCCGGGCAAACCTGACGTCACCCAGCTCTGCCCACCTGGTTTTCAGTGATGCACCAAGCCAGGCTGGGGGTTTGAGTCAGGGGTGTTGCTGTTGTCTATAGGAGCACCATCTTTTTGTTTGGGAAGCACCTGGTGCTGGGGTCAGAGAGACTGGTCCTGGTTACCTTGGGGATTGCTTGAACTTGATCACTGAGATCAAATTGGCGAGGCTAGTTTGGCAACAACAAGCAACTGAGCTCTTAGGTCCAGTCCTGTGGAACTCTCTGCCACTTGTGAGTCAGCAGGCGCCTTTTGTGCCAACTTTTAAATGCCTGCGGAAACCTCTCTGTTCCACCAGGTTAACTGATGTCTGTTTTTAACTTTTCCTTATATGGCCTTATTGCTGTAAACTGCCTCGATATATTTTTCATGACACAGCAGTATACAAATATTTTCATAAAGAAACAAATAAATAAATACATGAAAATAAGTTAAAGAGGACCTCTCCACTGCCCTCCTGAGAGCACATGCCCATGCCGTCTCATCTGTCAGTTGCTGGATTCTTCTCTACCTGCTGTAATCTTTTCTCCAAGATGAAACCATAGATCTCCTTTTCCCCATTTTAACTCACAACAAGCCTGCAAGGCAGCTTAAGCTGAGAGTGAGTGACTGGCCCAAGGTCACCCAGGGAGCTTCATGGATGGGCAGGGATTTGAACCCTGGTCTACCAGGTCCTAGTCCAACACTATAACCACTGCACTACCCTGGTGCTCATAGAATTGTAGGATTGGAAGGCACCTGACCCAAGGGCCATCTAGCCCAGCCATAGCTGTCAAGTGTCCCTTATTTGAAGGGACAGCCCCTTATTCCAGCGCCATGTCCCGCTGCTGTCCCTTATTGATGGATGTCCCTTAAATGTCCCTTAAATGATGTCCCTTAAATTTCAAAGGAAGCAGCTCCTCTCCCTCCCTCCCTGCCTGCCAGAGAGGAGGAAGGCTCCAACTGTGTTGCTTGGCTGTGTTGCTCACCCAATAAGAAGTCTAAGAACGACTGGGGGGTGGAGCCTGCATGCCTTGTGTGTGGCTAGTTAATGCAAGCTGAGAGGTTTTTTGAATGCTGGACGCCATTTTGTTGCACGTGCTGCTGCAAACTTTGCAGTGCAAAGCCAGGCTGGGGAGCCATCTTAAGTTGAGGCTGCATAGGCCTTGTGGTGCATGTGATTCAGATTCTATTCAGTTGAACCTCTGGTTACAAAGTTGGTTGGACAGTGTTCTCGAAGCTACCAGCATGAGTTTGACCAGACTGCAGGAGGACAGGAAGACTGGAGTGCCTGGAACAGGGGAGGCTGCAGGTCCCTTATTTTGGCTGCTGGTCCCTTATTTTCAAGGCTGCTGGTCCCTTATTTTCAGATCTGTAAGTTGACAGCTATGAGCCCAACCCCCTGCAATGCAGGAATCATGGCTAAGCTGTCAAGCATGAAGGCTGTGTCATACCACCACCAACAGTAACAGGAGGCACCCCCAGTGGCTGGGAAGCAACAACAGGAGATGGCTATAGCACATGCGTGGACTTACTATTAGGTTGGCCACCATGAGCCCGGGATGCTGAGCAATGTGGGCTTTGGCCTTGTTCCAGCTGCAGGACTCTTCTGAACCCCTTCACTTTGGACCTCTGCTGCCTGCCATTGCCAGGCAATCTGCCTTTGCCCTCCTGCAGCAGCAGGGCCCACGGATTCCCCCCCCCTTCACACCTTGAATATCATTAGCTGTGGTGCAGCTAAACTGATCCAAAGCTGGGATTGAAATCTGCCCGGGGGGGCTCTTCACACTTCCCCGGGTCCTTATTTGGACAAGTGGAGGAGAGAAGGTCTTCACACTCAGCCCCCTTGCCCTGAGAAGCTGACCCACAAACAGATTTCCCAGCGCTTGGGAAAAGCTGCCAGAGATTGGGGTCCACAGGATGGGAAGTGGTGTGGGAGAAAGTGAGGGGACGGGGGACAGACCCATACTCTGCAATGATCACTGGAGGCCTTTTCATCCCCGAGTTGGGCATTCCAAGCTGCTCTTTATCTGAAAAACCTCGGATGTGCACATCCTTAGCTGTTCCTTAGCCTTAGTCCTTTCTGTAATCAAAATGTACCTGCCTTGCAGGGGGGTTGGACTAGATGACCCTTGAGGTTCCTTCCAGCTCTGCAGTTCTATGATGACAAGGCCTCCCCAATTCAGTGTCCAAACTCTGAACTTTCCTTCTCTGTGTTAGTAGCTACACAGAACACCACGGCATAGGTGCCAACTCCCTAGGGCCCTGGGTGTTTCCTCCTTTAATCCTGACAACAACCCTGTGAGATATGTTAGGCTGAGAGGCAGTGACTGGACCATGGGCATCCAGTGAGATCGATGGCCAAGTGGGGATTCGAACCCTGTTCTTCTCCCACACTCGATAACTACTACACCACACCAGTTCTAGTAATGCACAATTGTCAGTGGTACCTTGGGTTACAGACGCTTCAGGTTACAGACACTTCAGGTTACAGATTCTGCTAACCTAGAAATAGTACCTCAAGTTAATAACTTCAGGATGAGAACAGAAATCGTGCTCTGGCGACGTGGCGGCAGTGGGAAGCTAAAGTGGTACCTCAGGTTAAGAACAGTTTCAGGTTAAGAATGGACCCCCAGAACGAATTAAGTTCTTAACCTGAGGTACCACTGTAGTAAAGCCATCCTCCTCTGTGCTGTGTGAAGCGGTCCCCCTTTTCCTCTGCTCTAAACCTGCTAACATTCAGCATCATTGGATCGTCCCACTGGGCTCTAGGATTATGAGAGAGAAACTATCTCTATCCACTTTCATCACACCAGGCATGATTGTATACATAGGTGGTAGGAGTCCCCAATACCCCCAAGCCCTGAAAAACCCTGGGTGTGTTCTGCATGTACTAGAGGGTGTGCCCCAGAGGGTGCTCACCATTGCTCCTCCATGTTGGGCTCATCCCTCCTGTGCAGGTAAGGGGCTGTCACTTATCAGATACCTGACCTGGCAGCAGCCATCACCACAAAGATGCCCTATGCTCCATCCTCCACAAGGGACCCCCCCATCCAGCTCTCCCAGGATGCAACGCTTGCATGGGGGTTACTCTCCTGAGCCCACCAGTGCTTGCCCAGGTGTGCTGGTGTTTGTGTTCAGCTCTTGTTGTCTCATCACACTTCGCCCACGTCGGTATTTTGGAAGCTGCCTTTGCTCTGTGTTCCCTCTGGATCTTTCCCCAAAAGGTCTGTTTCCCAGAACGGCAAGGCTGGGTTTCCCTGGCAACCTTTACACCAGGGGTGTCAAGGGCCTCCTAGGCAGGGCCTGGGAAAGCTGCCCCCCCACCGCCCTGCCGTAGTCCGTCCAGCTGTTTCACACTCTGGGACTGTGGGCTCCAGAGCCTAGTCCAGGGCTCAAGGCAGAATCTGCTGGGAATGGGGGAGCAGGGTGTGTGTGTGTGTGTTGCTCAGTTTGGAAAACTCAGTGCAATCAGGCCTGCAATGGAAAGTCAGCAACACCATCATCTGTTTATTTGAATCCCACTTTCCCACAAAACTGTTCTCAAAGCGGCTCATAACATATCAAAGGAACAAGTATAGCAATTCAATAGATAGATTAGCAAAAATTAGGAATGACATCAACTATTAATATATATATATATTTAAAAATCAATCCACACAAGTTTGCATAAAATAATACAAATAAACCAACCTAATTTAACAGCTTACATCTAAACAAGAGATAAGATTGTGCCTAACAAAGAAATACAAATTAGTGTACAAATCTCCCACATTGCTCTAGATGCATCTATTTCCAACAAGTTTTTGGTTTTTTACTGCATTTTTATCCCAACTTTTTTCGAAGCAGCTCAAGATGGTGTACATGGTTCTCCCTCTACTTGTTTAATCCACAACAACCTTGCGAGGCAGGTTAGTTGGAGAGAGACAGTGACTGGCCCAGGGTCACCCAGTGAGTTTCACGGCTGACTAGGGATTTGAACCCTGGTCTCCCAGGTCCTAGTTCAGTTCTCTAATCACTACACCACACTGTTTGGACTCAAGACTCAATCTTCATACATCCAGGGGTCCCACCCTACTTCGCATCTGGGGTATTGCAGACACCCGCACTCTGGCTCACACCCAGAGGGGCTTGATGGCCACTATTATCATGAGATCTCGCTCCACAGAGAGGCCAGTAAGTTTCATTCCACATCCTCCCAACAAGCTGCATCCATCCATCTGGACTGGGGATGAATACTATGCAATAACTGATACTAAACTGAAGGAAACTCCTAAGAAGTCAGCAGCCTTGAGGAAGGAGACTCCAGCTCTCTCTCTCCCCCTTTTGCCACTTGAAGTTTGAACCCTTGGGTATGCTGGAGGCTGCTTTGCTTCCTCCTGGTGCCCCTCAAGATTTGGGTTGAGTGAGTGCATGTGCCCATATGCCAGTGGCAAACCTTTTTACCCTGTGAGCTGGGCAACCAGCAGGCATCCTTCTGCTCCTCCGCTGGCTGGCAGAGGAGGGGACCCAAAGCTCATTAGATGGAGGGTGTGACTGGCCTGCTGGGCACATTCCTCAGGCCTCTCGCTGGCTCCTGGTGGTGCCAGGTCTCCAGGCTGGGAAACTATACCCTGGATAAGAAGAGGCCTGATTCTGGTTTGACAAATTGGTATGCCATTCCCAAATAAAGAAGTCCTGAACTGATTTACAACCAAGGTGGAAATACAATAATAAAATGACAAAAACAGATTAGAAACAGATTGTACAATGTAGCCAAATATTGTTGGTGTTGCCCAAGAACACAAAAGATGTATTTGCTTGATGCCAAAATAATGGCAAGGTTGGCTCCAGGTGGACCTCTTTGGGGGAGAGCATTCTATATACGCAGGGGTGGTTGGGGCTACTACAGAGAAGTCCCTGTGCCAGTGGCTGGTAGGTCCTCCCAGTGAGCAAAGAGGGGCTTCCGGAGGGGCCCTCAGGCTGGATTATATATACCGTGCAGGTTCCTGGCACTGGAGGCATTTTCCAGCCACAACAGATCATACAGTAAGTGACTTGGGGGCCTAGTGTGTGCCATGCACAAAGAGCCATACAGCTCACTGGGAGGCCTACCTTGCAAGGGTGTTGGAAGGGCAAATGATGCTTATGCTGACTGTACCCTGAAAAAGCAAAGGCTAAATCACATGCGCCAAAGAGTGACTAGTTAGGAGAGAAACTTGCTTTGCATCACACTCCTTAGGGACAGAGAGCACAAACCATGTGACTATCAGTCCTTGGACCAAGCTTGGGATTCCCCAACCTGGTGCCCTCCAGCTGATGTGAGTCCTAGTCCAAAAACTCTGGAGGGCACCAGATAGAGGGAGGCTGATCTAGTCCCCCTTTGGCTGAGGAGGGGCTCCATTTTGTCCCTGGCCTGTGGCAGGGCAGGGGGCTGCTGCAGGCCCTGCTGCCTGCCTTTGCATGTGGCACCTGCTGCCCTTGGGCTCTGCTTTGGCACCTGGGAGCCCCTTCCAATGCCAATGAGGTTTCCTTTGTTCCCTGTCAGTCAGACTCATGTCTCATCCCACCTGCCCAAGATGAGGCGCCCCATTCACGCCCCATAAGAAGCAAGGGCCCATTTAGTAGAGCATCCTGTTCTCAATAGCGGGCAGCCGGACTCCTATTACGGGAAGCCTGCTAGCAGGACCCAAGCACAAGAACACACTTCCCTCCAGTGGCTTCCGGCAAATGCAGTTCCATCTTCAAATATATCTCAAGGGCTGTCACATGGAAGATGGAGCAAGTCTGCTTGGAGGCTAGGACCCAAACCAATGGATTCAAGTCACAAGAAAGGAGATTCCAACGAAACATCAGGAATAACTTTCTGTTGGTAAGAGTTGTTGACAGTGGAACAGACTCCCTCAGGAGATTGTGGACTCTCCTTCCTTGGAGGTTTTTAAGCAGAGGTTGGATGGCCATCTGTCATGGATGCTTTAGCTGAAATACCCGCATTGCAGAGGGTTGGACTAGATGACCTTTGGGATACCTTCCAACTCTGCAATTCTATGATTCTATTATTCTTTTAAAGCCACGAACGTTGGTGGTCACGAGTGCCTCCTGTGGGAGGTAGTTCCACAGTTTTAATTATGCACTGCGTGAAAAAATAATCGCTTTTCTCCTGGAACTTGTTGCGGGTGGATTAGGGTCTCTTAGAGAAGGGAAGGGGCGTCCCCAACGTCCCCAAAGAGGACCCCCCTCGGCCGGGGTGGTATTCCCCCCCCCTTCAAAGGGTCCGGCTTTGATGCGCCGCTGGGCTTCGCGGAGGTGCCAGTTCACACCTTCGGGCCGGCATAAAGGCCGGCGGCCGCCTCGGCGTCCTCCCAGAGCCAGCTCGGCTGCAGCCATGGCCCACGGCTATCCCACTGCCCCACTCGGGAGCCCAGCTCTGGAGCTGCCCTCCTTCTGGGCCGCCCAGCCTCAGCCTCAGCCCCAGCACCCGACGTGGGGATGGCCCGACGGCTCCAGCAGCGCCTCGCCGGCCTCTTCTCCGGACTCCTGCGGCTTCTCGCCCTCGCCCTGCCCTTGGAGCAGCGCTGGCCTCGGGACCAGAAAAGGCAGCGGTAGCGGCAGCAGCGGCCGTCGGGCCCGGCTAGGCTTGGGGCAGCGCCAGAGCGCCAGCCAGCGCGAAAAGCACCGCATGCGGCGCCTGGCCCAGGCCTTGCACACGCTGCGCCTCTACCTGCCGGCCTCGGTGGCGCCTGCCGGGCAGAGCCTGACCAAGATCGAGACGCTCCGCCTGGCCAGCCGCTACATCGCGCACCTCTCCGAGCAGCTGGGCCTCAGCGAAGAGGCGCTGACCCGCGCTGCCCGACGCCCCCCGACGGCACCCGATCCCCTAGCTTGGTCTCGCGGCCTCCAGCAGGACCCCCTCGACGCCTCCTGCTGCTGCAGCTCCCCTGTCTCGCCGTCGGCCCCCTGGCTGCTGGGTTCTCCGTCCTGCTCCGGAACCGGGGCCCCTGCCGAGTCCTCCACCGACGGAGGCGGGCGAATAGAGCCGCCCTGGACTGCGGAGCTCGCGGAGCTGGATCTTTCCTCGCAGGTAAGTCCCTCGAGCCACACCTGGGCAGCAAGCTCCGTCCAGCGCGGACCGGCAGCGCCTTGAGCATGTGGCCTTCTGCATGCAGCTCTGGACCTCCTCCAGCTGCAAACGGCCCTTCCGACTCCGGCTATTCTCTGCTCCCCCTGGGCAGGTTCAAGGGAAGCCTTAAAGCGGGAAGGACCGTCGCAGCTCAGGGCTAGGCATGCAAAAGGTCCCAAATTCAATCCCAATGGGATTTCCAGATAGGGCTGGGAGAGAAACCTTTGCCTGAAACCCTGGAGAGCTGCTGCCAGTCAGTGCAGGCAATACTGAGCTAGATGGACCAGTGGGTCTAATTCAGATGTTCAGTTTCCTGTTCAGCAGCTGAGCATAAGGCAAAGCAGGGGACAGCCAAGAACAGAGCGCTCCTTCTGCCCCCCTTCCTGACCACTTGCCCTTGACTGATGCTGACCCCCTACATTGCTCTCTCTCTTTCTCTCTTGCCTCTCTTTCCAGATTCTCCCCGATGAGCTGGTGGCTTTCTTGGAGGGCTTCCTTCCGCCGGCATCTCAAGGCTGACCTTCACACCCCCTCGCCTGCCCTGTGCCAACTGGCCTGACTGGCATCTGGAAGCTCAGGAGCCCAGTGGGGACATCGCCATGGCAAGAAGCGCTCTGGAGCAGAAAGACCCCTCCCAAACTGAAAGACTCTTTCTTCCCTAGAGTCAAGGACCTTCTAGGAAGCAATGACCCACAGAGGTGCCAATTAAACTCTTCTGCCAGCTGCCCCTGCCTTCTCTCCCTCCATGTTGCTTTGGAAGTCTAAGAGCAGCTGGCAAGGTTGTAGCATTTGTGAACAAACTTTGCCCTAATCCCTGCTGTGATAGACAAAAGGAAGAGTCACTGGCATGGCTCCCACAAGAGGCACTGATTGCCACCAATGTGGAAAGGGTTAAAAAAATTAAGACCAAAAGAGTGCTGTCAGTGGCTACTAGCCACAATAGCCATCTTCTGCCTCCATGGAGGCAGGACATCTCTTCTTGTGTTCTGATGTGTTCTGTCCTTTGCCAGCTTGGCTCTTTGTGGGCTGGCTTTGTGGGTAGGGCAGAAGAGGACGTTGCTTCCAGTGTGTGGTGTAGTGGCTAGTGCGCTGGACTGGGACCCGAGAGGCCAGGGTTCAAATCCCTACTCAGCCATGAAGCTCACTGGGTGACCCTGGGCCAGTCACTGCCTCTCAGCCTAACCTACCTCACAGGGTTGTTGTGGGGATTAAATGGAGAGGGGGAGAACCATGTATGCCACCTTGAGCTCCTTGGAGATACAGATGCAGTGAATCAATGACTCAATCAAGTTCCAAGTCAGAACAATACACGAAGGTGAGATGTCGGGACAGAGTGCCTCTGAGCAAGTGCAAAATAGCTTTCCTTTCCCACTGACCCTAACAAGTCCTGTCCCCCCCCCACATCTAGGGTTAATTATTGATGTCTTCCCCAAGGAGCCTAGACCAGCATTTCTGTTTCACAACAGCCCATCTGGATCTTTTCCTGTCTGTATTTTTGGGTGCTTTGGGGGACAGAAGCCTCCTTTGTTACCCTATAGACTGCTGGTGCTGTCAGTGGGGTAACCCTGTTGCTTTTCATTTGCCCTTTGTAGAGTTGAAGAGATGGAAGGGACTCTAGGGGTAATCTATTTCAAGCCCTGCAACGCACAAATCTGTTTTGTCACAAGTCCACATCTCCATGACACTTGTGGGCAAGGCTATCTGGGGTTCAGGAAGTGGTGTGTCGTGAATCTGCTGGTGGCATCCTGCTCTGTTCTCCAAGAGAAGTGGTAGTGGCTTCTCTGTATGTGAGACCAGTGGTGAACTAGATGGAGGTGAAAAAATGTAGACTTAATCTTGAGTGGAGGAGGAGTGGAGTGAGCCACCTCGGCTCACTGGCTATCTGGGGGACTGTGTGGCCTGGAAATTCCTATGACTCTCTGGACTCCTAGGCAGCAACGGATATGGCCTGGAGTATGTTAGTCCACTTTTAGGGGTTGGTCTGGCTGCATTGCTGGAAGATGGAAGCCCACGTGGTCAGTTATCCATTCCTTGGCAATTTCTCAATGACATGGCTGCAAAGTGATGGGCCACACGATGCCCTTGAAGGTCTGGAAGCTTCATCTAGAACCTGGTACTGAACACAGCTAGGCTACGGATGGGTAGAATCATACAATCATAGCATTCAAAGGAAGCCAAGGGTCATCTAGTCCAACACTCTGAAATGCAGGAATCACAGCTAATAAGGTGTTGGCAAACTTACTTTGCATATTCTAAAGCCTTTGCTCAGGTTGCCAGTTCCTTCCTAGGTCCAACAAGACTCTGTCTGAAGCCTTAATTGGTCTTCCACCTGATGTCTCTACTCCACCCCACTCTGAGATCTACCAAGAAGTTGTGCTGCTTTCTAATCTAGATTAACAGGGACTTCCTTATAGTTCACCCCCAAGACCCTGGAGAGGCCCCTCCCTCTTCTTTTGCTTCCTTTTTAGAGGGAGGTGAAGGTGTTTGAGGGCTTTATTTTATGGATGTTTCTTGAGCTGTTTCCCCCCATTTATTTTTATTAATTTTCTAAATTATTACAAATCAAACTGAATTGCTTTAATACAATTTCTTAAAATCAGGTTTCCCGCTCCTGTTGCAAACATATGGTTGAGCTGTTCTTTTTACTGCTTTTTCCACCTGATTTGTTGTGAGTCTCTAATAATGATATTGTTTCAATACTTATTATATTAATTGATGTTTTAATTATTTTTGTAGCTCCTCTGATTGTAGCTTTTACCCAGAGAGAACATGTGTGATACAAATGACTGTAAATAAAGAATCCCACTTTAACCTATTTGTTTATTAGAGGTTTATTTAACTGGTTCCAACTCTTAATTCTGAGAACTGATTAGAGAATATTTGACAGTGAAAAGCAATATACACATCCTGTGAATGAAAAAAACACCCCATGCAGTAAGGCAAAGACAGTTGGGTGGGGGTTAATGGGTTAATGAAGGCCTGTTTCTGCCCCTCCAAACCCAGCGCCCCTGCCAGGGTCACCCCAGACCTAGAGGAAAAGTTTTTACAGTCAGAATTTATTAATTTCAACCAGGAGGAATCCCGTTATTTCCCCTCTGTAAAAACCTCAAACATAAAATCCGTTTTAGATTTAGCATATTTATTACCAGCTTTTCCCCAAAGGTCTAAGAGCAGATTAGAACAGTACAAAATCAATACAATAGTCTGTAAACAAGACAGCAAACCAAGCCCCTCGGCTTCCTGGGACTTTCAAGAACCAGGGAAGCTGCACGTATGAACACAACCCTGGGCAGGAGTGGGAAGCATGGGCCCCCCATCTGTTCTGCGGTGAGGGAAGAGAAACCAGGCCCCAGTAGGAGGGAGACAGGAGGGCGGCCCGATGGCGCCCCTCGCCTCACCGTACATAACAAAGGCCCGGCAGCAGCAGCCACACTCGACGGGGCGGGCTGGACGTGCGCGGCATGTGCTCCTGCTGCCGCCGCGTGTCAGGATTTGCGTAAGCTCTCGAGTGCTGCTCTCCCCGGCACCCCGCCCCTGCTGGCGACTGCCTGGCGGCTGCTTGAGCCTCTTCCCCCGCCCCGTAATGAACCCACCTTCCTCGCGCAGGGACTTGCTAATCGTCCTAGCGGAGCCTTTGAGATGCAGAGTGCGGCGTCCGCCCCGTCGGAGTCTACCCCGCTTGCGGGCCGCCGCCTCCTTTCTCTGCTCCTCTTCCGCTTCTCAGCACAGCTTGAGGGCAGCCCCCGGGGGCTCCAGAGACCCTCGCTAACAATCGTGTTTCCGTTTGGCCCGCCCGCAGCCCTAGGGAGCGGCTGCCTGTCGTACGGATAACAACAACAACAACAACAACATATTAGTATATAGCATGGGCGTAGCTAGGATTTATTTTAGGGTTGGGCAGGCCTTATGTTGGGTGGGGGGCAGAACCAAGTTATCTGTGATACAATTGGTCATTTAGTTAAGCATTTTTGCTTGTTTATTTGATTTAGAAGGGGCAGGTGCCCCCCTGCCCCCGGCTACCCCATTTTATGTTGTTGTTATTGTTGTTATTATTGCGTTTATATCCCTTATTTTTCTCCAAGGAACGGAAGGTGGTGTCTGTGCATCACCTCTCTCTTCAATCCTCACAACAGCCCTGTGAGGTGGGTTAGGCTGAGAGGCAGTGACTGGGGGTCACATCTAATGAGCCTCCTAGCTGAGTGGGGATTTGAACCCTGATCTCTCCTGGGTCCAAGCCCGAGACTCTAACCACTACACCATGCTGGCTGTGATGGAGCCCTGGGTCTGCCTGGGTCCCTCTGCTCAAATCCTGGCATCTTCCCTCATTTTCTACCAAGATGTGAAAGAGCACCACTTGTCAAAGTGCTCCCCTTGGTGGCAGCAAACAGCAGCAGGACCCTCACTTGTGCACACTTTTAATGACTGATTGTTAGGTCTTGATCTACTGGGCACTGGCTTCAGGGACGCCACCCGTTGGCAGACCATCTCTGCATTACAAAGATGACTGCAAACATGACATGAAGGCTGGCAACTTCAACCCTGCTCTGTGGGAACCCCTTGCAGATCATAGCAGTGCCTGGAGACAGGCAGTTGGGTCATGTATCTACAGCAGTGACCAGTGGAGGAATGACCGCTGAGAGGCTTGCATAAAGCTTTGCTGGTATTGAGAAGCTTTGCTGCCTAGCCTCAATTATGGCTAGTAGCCACAAATGAATTTGATTAATTCTCTTTCAAACCCATCTAGGTTGGTGGCCTTACTGCCTCCTGTGGGAGTGAGTTCCGTAGTTCAACTCTGCACTATATGAATAAGGACTTTCTTTTATCTTCGATCTTCCCCAGTTTATAGCAGGAAAGAGATGGCCTTTCAAAAGGTAGTATCTGCAGATGACTTAAGTTTTATCCCAAGGCAAGTGGAGGTGACTCCTGCAAGCATGGAACAGGCTGACAGGGGTTCTCAGGGGCTACTTTCTGATGAGGAAAAAGATGCCTTGTCTAAACTACCTTAGCAGCTGCTGCAACCGTTATCTGCAAGTCTGTTTCTGCTCTTAACTGAGATGCAAAAAGAAACCAGCCTTCTTTTGCACTTCTGAACAGCCTTGGTATCCAAGCTGGGGTCTGTTTTTGGCTGCGTATGCCCCTCCCTCTGGGGGTGGGAGTGAGCCAGTGTGACATGGGATGGTATTAAGAGTACAGAAGCCTCTGCCAAGGGCACTGAGCAGCAGGAAGGGAGCTGAGTGGTTGGGTCTGTTGCTGTGAAGAGGAATCCGCCAGGTGAGCTGGGGCAGGTGCCAAAGAGGTAGAGAGGTGGGCAGAGCCTGAGGTGGAGGCTTGGAGGGGCCACGCTTGAGCCAGTTGAGTCAGTGGCCCCGAGAGAGACAGCACAAATACAGCTGCTCCAGAGAAACATCCCAGACAGCTCCAGGTGAGGCAGAAGGGTGGTGGTGGTGGATGGGCAGCAAGGGATCTGCTGGGAGAGGGAGCGAGATCCCCATTCGCCTGCAACCTATAACTAGTTTGTGTGTCTCCCCCGGCTGCCTAGGTGGAAGTGAACAGTCCCCACAATGACCCTGGAGGAGAATTCCAGTGTGACAGAAGTCGTGGCACCCTGTGGCGGCTTGTTCCCCTTAGAGGGGGCTGTGTGGGCCAACGGCAGCACCGCGGCAGAAACCCTGAAGCTGCCCACCTTCTTGGCAGGGGCCAAGGCTCGCGTGGCCATCACTCTGGGGCTCTGTGTGATTTTGACAGCCTGCAACGTGGCAGTCCTGTGGGTTGGCATTGGCAAGTCGCAGTCCAAGCGTTCCCAGGCCCGCCTGCTTCTCCTGCACCTGGCGGCTGCCAACCTACTAGTGGCCCTGGTGGTGATGCCCGTGGATGCCGCCTGGAACGTCATCCTGCAGTGGCGGGCGGGCGACTGGGCGTGCCGCCTCCTCATGTTCCTCAGACTCCTGGCCATGTATGCTTCAGCCTTCGTCACCACCATCATCAGCCTGGACCACCAAAATGCCATTCTGCACCCCCTGACCATCGCCAAGGCCCGCTGCAGGAGTCAGGTCCTGCTGTACGCCTCGTGGCTATTGAGCGCTGGGCTCTCCATTCCTCAGGTACTTGCCCCCCCCTTCGCCAACTGGTGCCCTTTCAGATTTATTCATTTTATCGCATCCCTATCAAACCTCTTTTCTCCATGGAGCGCAAGGCGGCGTTCACAGTTCTGTTTCCTGCTCTGCATTTGATCCCCACAACAGCCCTGTGAGGTAGGTTAGGCTGAGAGAGGCGGTGAGCTTCATGGCCAAATGGGAGAAGTCAGTAAAGTGGTACCTCGGGTTAAGAATTTAATTCGTTCCGGAGGTCCGTTCTTAACCTGAAACAGTTCTTAACCTGAAGCACCACTTTAGCTAATGGGGCCTCCTGCTGCCGCCGTGCCACCAGAGCACAATTTCTGTTCTCATCCTGAAGCAGAGTTCTTAACCCGAGGTACTATTTCTGGGTTAGCAGAGTGTGTAACCTGAAGCGTCTGTAACTCGAGGTACCACTGTATAGCAATAAAGGTACAGGGATCTGCAGGTCATGAGCGTAGTCAGGATTTTTGTTAGTGGGGGGCAGCCTTCATGTTAGCAGGGGAAGAAACTCAAGTTAGTTAAAAATTTTTATTGATTTACTTTTTTATTGATTTACGCCCATGCTGCAGGCCAAATAATAATAATAATAATAATAATAATAATAATAATAATAATATTTATACTCCACCCATCTGGCTGGGTTTCCCCAGGCACTCTGGGCAGCTCCCAACAAAATATTATTATTAATAAAAAAGCGATAAAACATCAGCCATTAAAAACTTACCTGACTTAGCTCCTTGCAAAGCCCTCTTCTGCAAGCTGAGTTTGAGTTGCACCCAAACTTCCAAAAGCTGCAAGCCCCACAGAGGAAGAAAGGCTCCTTCACCAGGAGAGGAGCGTAGCTGTCCTGGGGTGGGATGGCTGCTTCTCTCCTAAAAAGTTGGGGTAAGGTGGGGTGTATGGGGGGGGGTTGAATGCAGCATGTTGCAAGAGCTTAAAGCCCCATTTTCTCTCCCCCCTCACCTTTGGCGGTTTGCTGTTTCCCCCCTCAAGCTCTTCCTGTTCCGCACGGTCACCATCAGCTCCCTGCAGAACTTCACCCAGTGCACAACGAGGGGTGCCTTCACCCAGCGCTGGCACGAGACGGCCTACAACATGCTCAGCTTCATTTGCCTCTTCCTGCTCCCGCTGCTCATCATGGTTGCCTGCTACTCCCAGATCCTGCTTGAGATTTCCCCCCCGCAGCGGGTCCTCCAGCTGCTGTGAGTTCCGCAGGGGAGAGGGGAGGAGAAAGGCCGGTTGGCGGCAAAGATTGGGGAGAGTGCTGAGGGCCACGTAGAGAGGATTGGAGGGCTGCATTTGACCCCTGAACCTGAGGTTTCCCACTCCCATACTAAGAATTAACTGATGGAACTATCTGCCACAGGAATGATTTTTTTGAAGGATCTGAAAAACCCCGCAGAGGTCAACTGGAAGTTATTAGCCTCACCAGGAAAAATGGAGCCTTTCTCCGTGCTCAGAGGAGGCCTTGTGGTCCTGATTCCCAGATGCCAGGGCAAGCAACAGGGCACAGCTCTCTCTTTTGAGCGCCTGCTTGTGATGTTCCCTGGTAGAAGGTTTCTGGAAGGCTGACTTTTGTTCTAATCCGGCAAAGTGTTTTGATGGACATGGGAAGAAGTTTCCCAGGCAAAGTTTCTCCTGTTCTCACTCCCTTCTGATATGTGTGTGTGTGTGTGTGTGTGTGTGTGTGTGAGAGAGAGAGAGAGAGAGAGAGAGAGAGAGAGAGAGAGAGTGAAACCCCCATGCAGACCCCTAGTAGAGTGGCAATTTCCACTGTGGGCAAGGACCACCCTTCAAGTATACATCACCCAGAAATGCAGAGAAGCTGGGGAGCAAAATGAGGATGCTACATTATCTGCCTGTATCATAATGCCATAATAGAAATCTATGGTGTGACTGTATTTGAAATACTGTGTACCATTCTGGTCGCCTCACCTCAAAAAGGATATTGCAGAGTTGGAAAAGCTTTAGAAAAGGGCAACCAAAATGATCAAGGGCGCCCCAGTGAAGAAAGGTTGCAGCATTTGGGACTGAGAAAAGGCAAGCTGAATGTTGGAAGACTCAGGGCGGATAAAAGGAATTCCTTCTTCACCCAGTGCATAGTTAAACTATGGAACTCCCTCCCACAGGAGGCAGTGATGGCCACCAACTTAGATGGCTTTCAAAGAGAGGGCTATCCATGACGGCTATGTTCTCCCTCCACAGCTGGAGGCAGCAATGCTTCTGAATCCCAATTGCTGGAAACCACAGGAGGGGAGAGAACTCTAGAGCTCGAATCCTGCAGGTTTCCTACAGGCATCTGGTTGGCCACTGTGAGAGCAGGATGCTGCTCTAGATGGGCCCCCTTTGGCCTGATCCAGCAGGCTCTTCTTACATTATCCTCTCTTTGTCTTTGCAGTGTCTGCCAAGGAGCTGCCCCTGCGCCGCTTGCGTGACCCCATCCCGCGGGCCCGGCTGCGCATGCTGCGCCTCAGCATAGCCATTGTGGCTCCTTTGTGGTCTGCTGGACCCCCTACTACTTGCTGGGCCTCTGGTACTGGTTCTGGCCAGCCGCCATGGAGGGAGCTGTCTCCCATTCCGTTGCTCACATCCTTTTCTGCTTCGGCCTGCTCAACTCCAGCCTGGACCCCATCCTCTACGGTCTCTTCACCTTGCCTTTGTGCCAGAGGCAGGGGGGCTGCTGCAGGGTGGGGGGCCCAGGGTCTTCCTCACAGCTGCCCTCCTCCATCATCACCAGCTCCTTCCGCTGCTCAGCATCCCCCATCCGCCTCCGGCGGGGGGTGCCCCACCGCGAGCTGGCTGCAGAGGCCCCCCTGCCCCCAAGTGCCTGCACCAAAGGCATCGCTGATAACAGCAGCCTTTGAAGGAGTCTGCTGCAGACACTGACCCAGGGACTTGCACAGGGCTGGGTGGAGGCTCCCCGCTTCTGAAAGCCAGAGGCCTGGTCCTCTAAGCGGCTCAATGAAGAGCAAACGTCTGCTTTCCTCCAGCTGGTTCCTTCCAGCTGTTTTGGACTATGACACCCACTCGACTTGCTCAGCATCATCTAGCTGTGCTGGTTCCAAGGGATGATGGGTGTTGAAGCCTAGAACACCTGGAGGGGGCCAGGTTTAGGAAGGCTGCTTTGGGGGATGTATTTAATGGGATAGAGCCAGCTCCCAAGCACAAACACGGGGTCCTCTGGCTGGAGAGCGGCCTGGATGTGCAATGCAAAGTCACAGGAGAAGGAAAATGGCAGATAACCTTCTGCGCTGGAGGTTTGTAAACAGAAGTTGGATGCCCAGCTGTCAGGGATGCTTTAGTTGTTATTCCTGCATCGCAGGGGGTTGTTCTGGACACAGCGGCATAGGTAGCTGCTCGGGTGCCCGGTGTGGTGCGTGCGTCCTGTAGCCAGGGTCGGAGCAAGCCAACTCCAGCCTAGAGTGGGGCGAGCCAAGGCAGGGCTGTGTGGAGCCTCTCCGCAGCCTCCCCCTCAGCTGTAGGGTGGCTGAGGCGGTGGGCAGACGCAAGCCCCATGCAGCTCAAAAAAGCAATGCGGAACTTGCAAGCAGTCCACCCGCCATCTCCCCCTCAGGAGAGATGCGTGGTGAGCCCTGCGGTGTGGTGCGCAGTGTCCCCTGCCTCACCTAGCTACCAGTGACGTAGAAAGGGGGGGTGCAGGAGTTATTTATTTATTTATTTTTAAAGTACCGTGAGCCCGATTTAAAAAAATATATTTTAAAAACACATATTTTTGCCATTTTGTCACTCCCCCCTCAGTGATTACTCCCGGGGTGGCCCGTACCTACTGCACCCTCCTTCCTACGCCACTGACTGGACGACCCTTAGCATCCTTTCCAACCCTACAATTCTATGGTTTATTAAATAGTAAGACAGAATTACATGTGAAATGAATATATATGTAGCCAATATTTTCCAACGGCTTCATTGTAGAAGGCTGGCTTAATTTCGGGTAGCATCCCTGAGCATAGAGTGGTACCTCGGGTTAAGAACTTAATTTGTTCTGGAGGTCCGTTCTTAACCTGAAACTGTTCTTAACCTGAGATACCACTTTAGCTAATGGAGGCTTCCCTCTGCCGCCGCACGATTTTGGTTCTCATCCTGAAGTAAAGTTCTTAACCTGAGGTACTATTTCTGGGTTAGCGGAGTCTGTAATCTGAAGTGTCTGTAACCTGAAGCATCTGTAACCTGAGGTACCACTGTATATGGAGTTATTTCTGTCTCAGAATAAACTTTAAGGTGTGCTTGGAGGCCAGAGGTTCTGTGGGGTGTAATTGATGCGTCAATGCGATGGGGAGATTTTGAAAGGGTGGGACTGCACTCATCCTGCCTTCTCCACGGCTAGGGACTTGCAGCTGCCTTCTCCCCACCTCCCTGGGCCTCTTGAGCTCAGGAAAGTCCAAGGAAAGATGTCCTTCAGGTTCTGCCATTACCCCTCGTAGGTCCTGTAGGGTGCCTGGATTTCTGACAATGGCCTTGCCTGTTGCAGAAATCCAAGCACAGCAGCTGTGAGCCCCTGCAGTCGAGAGTACCCACCCCCTCCTGTGGGGAGGGGGCAGCATTGTTCTTGCCTCTTTAATCCCAGAGCGTTTGTTCCTGGAACCTGCTGTTCCCTGTTCTCTCTGAATCTACCTTGACTGCTGCCCTTTCCAGCCGCTGCTCTCCTGTGTGCACCTGGAGATCATGATTGGGCAGGTAAAGGAGTGGAGGGCTCAAGCTGAGACATCTCTTGCCACTTCCTCATCCTAGGCACCCCCCCCCCATCAGGGGGAAAGGCGGTGGGTCATGGTGGGGGCTTCTGACTTATAAGCATGGCTGAGGTCTGGCATGTTCCCTTAGAAATTAAGATAAGTACGGAGCTACTCCCAGCAGTAACTTGTGCAAAGAACTCTGGAAAATGTAGTTTCATGGTAGAGGGTCTTGTCCTTGCTTTTCGGTGCTCAAAGCCAGTTTGCCCTCTCTGTGCAGTCCAAGACAAAATTTGAGGTGCAGGGTTGGTTTGGAGTGAGTCCTGCTAAAAGCTGGCTGTGACCCTTGGCCTCGGTTCTCTATCTGCAAAATCAGAATAATAGCGATCTCTCTCCTAGAGAGGACTGTGACAGCAAAGAGTAAATAGCAAAGCACCCTGTGAGTGGGGGCGGTCAGTGGCACTGCCGACAGCTTGCTTCCCCTGCAATTGATGAGCAAAGTCTCTCTGGGGGCTCTTGCAGGGGCTCCCCCACTTGCTGCTCTTCTCCTCCCCACTTGTCGCAGAGGCATGCCTCCCCCTTTCCATGAAATAAAAGGTTGTCATGGATTGTTGTATTGCATGGGATTGTTGTGTATTTTAATTATCGCGTATTGCTTATTCATTTAATACCCACCCTTCACCCTAAGGTCCCAGAGTGGGTTACAGCATTAAGAACAACATCGAAAACCATTTAAAACACATTACATCCATAAGAATAAGGTAAGTGCTACAAACATGCACCTCCAGTGCAGTGTTAGAAACTCAGATACTGCATATAGGCTAGGCGCTAAATGGCTTCTTAAACCAGAGTTACAGTCGCCAAAACAGAATTCCTAGTTGCCATTTGGGGGCCAGAGACACAGCTCAAAAGTTGTGTTTTTCAATACGACTTTTTGGTTCCTGAAATTTATTCTGCTTTTGCCGATAAAATATAACAGGTAGAAATTCTACAGGATGGGGTGCGTGGAAACAGTCAAGATCCAAGGATCCCCAGGCACACACCTCCAGGTGGTGGAGAGGTCAGGCGCCATCATGGTGCCTGGGCATCTTTACTTGGCTGCAAGTGCGCCTGGCGAATTTCGAATGCTGCTCCCGTGTCAAAAGCCAGGGTTCAGAGGTGTGTCTCCAGCCTTCACCAAAAGCTGTACAATGAAGGCGCCAGACACATCTCTATGGGGAGGGGATGCCACAGCTGAGGGGCCACCACAGCGAAGGCCCTCTGTTGTGTCTTTAATTGTGTCATTGGTTTCCCTGTTTTGTATACGTCTGGCATTAAGTAGCATATACTTTTGTTGTTAAGGGACGCGGGTGGTGCTGTGGGTTAAACCACAGAACCTAGGATTTGCCAATCAGAAGGTCGGCGGTTCGAATCCCCGCGACGGGGTGAGTTCCCGTTGCTCGGTCCCTGCTCCTGCCAACCTAGCAGTTCGAAAGCAAGTCAAAGTGCAAGTACCGGTAGATAAATAGGTACTGCTCC